CAACGTGGTTTTCGAGGCGATGGTCTCCATTTGCGAACCCAAATCCCAAGGCTCTGGCGCTCCGGTGCGCGCCGCCCATCGGCGCCTGGGATTGGGGGCCAAAACCACTGGTGCGAAGTGGAGGTCCATAGTTGTTGTTTCTTTTTTGTTTCGGGCCGGCTGACGATGCAAGCGCAAGAGTTTTGAGGGGACAGTTTTGATCCCGGATCAAGCAATCGTTGCTTGGTTCTTAAGGTGGGGTGTCCCAGGTAATTATATACCAACCCTCAATTCTAGGAGGGAACCCTCAACGGATCCTGGACAGCGGGTTCGGAACGTGCTGTTTCTTGGGCTTGATTCGAATTCGGAGTTGTTGTGCTTCCGTTTTGGAGTGGTTCAATCACCTGTTCGAAAGGCCAATCTTTTCTGTCTTTGTTTCTGAGAGATGTTCAGAGGCACTGGGTGTGCCATTTTGTGAGGGAAACCAAAAGGAAGACCAGGCATTCTTTGGGGGTCCCCTAAAAAAGGACACAGCCCTAGAAGGAAGCTCGTGCTTTCAGTTCGATCAGCCAGAGAAGGGAGGTCCGCTTTGCTGTTCGTGACTGCTCCGGTTCGCAGGTTGGAAGAATTAATTTTACTGGGACTCATTGGTGGACATTATTCGGTGGAGCTTCACGTCCACCAATCACTTTTAAATTGGTTCCCTGTTAAAATTCATGGCCATATCAGTCCATTTTGTAAGGCTAGCTTGAGAGTCCAGGAGTCCAGTCAGTGCGTTCTTGTGTAGAATGCAAGTACTGCAGTGAGGCTCAAAGCAGCTGCATGAATCACACCGATGCATCAATGGACCGGGCAGCCAACGGATTCCCAAAGTTTCTCCTAACGGCCGGGATGTTGCACCAAGACGCATGCGCGATTGCCGGCACTTACCCCAACGGGTACCCCATGTCCAACCCCCGGCACGTCTGCCTTTGCAGGAAGCCAAACGCCCAAAACCGAGCTTCAAGATGGTGTCAACAAGCAGTGCTTGCAAACCTGGTCTCAAGCTTGAAAAAGCAGTAGTTTCAACCTATGAACATGCGAGTTTCAAGCCATCTTGAGGACCAGGTTTCAACATAGGTTCTTCGGCCGGCTGGCCGTCATCTTTTCGCTTGCGCCATCGCCTTTTCCGATGTGAGGGCCGTGTGCATTCGCCATGGGGGCGAAATGCAGCGAGATGACGATGGGTGCACCGTCGCAGGTGGACACGAAGGCGATGTGGGGTGAGTTTGAAGAGTTGGAGCCTCCAAGAGTTCGGTGGACATAAAAAAGGTGCCCCGCCTTTGTTTGATGTCCAAAGAATGCATGTTGTCGTTTTTTTTTTTTTTTTAATAGAGATTGCAGCTGTCAAAAGCTTTCAGTTCTCCTTTTGCCGTCCTTTCTGTTCGGCCCGTATGAATTCCAAGAAAGGGGACCCGAAATCGGATGCTACGTGATTAGGCGGGGGACAGATGTGGAAACAGCTGGAAAGCTTTGGGGTCTTTGCCCCTAAATCGGCTCCGGCGTCTCAGGCCTAGGCTTCCAGTTGTTTTTTGGAATTCCTGGGCGTGTTGTTCTTCCTACAAACCTTGTTTTTGAGCAGCCAGGTCCATGCCAAGGAGTTCCCCTTTGACAGGGAAGAGTTGTTTGGATTTGTTGCCTCGATATGGTCCCTGGAAGCTAAGACAGCTAAGATTTGAGGACCTTGATCCTGCAACTGCGCTGCCTGATCCAAGCACACAGCACGATATTTGGGCAAATTAGTTCATGAGCTCCCTGATCAGGGGTAAAACCAGCGATTTACCCCATAATTATTCTTCAGGTCTCTACCCTGGCAAAATGAGAATTCCCGATCCCCAGACTCCGGTGGCAATTTGGCACCCACCTTTTTTGTTCTTTGTTTTTTTCTTTTCTGATCCAGCTCAAAAGGCCGGGTTCCTGAAAAAGATGGACGGTTTGAATTGGTTTTTCCCACTTGCCGCCAAACCAATACAATACCAGCCAGTCGTGGCAATGAGATTATATTGGAGAAACTTCAGCGAGGTTCCGTCGGAAAAGACACAATCCACCCTTCCAGTTGGGGGATTAATCAAGTTTTGGTTCTCCCATGGGATTCCTGAGGGGCAGTTCTTATTCCCAATTGGTGAGTTATAGAAATTGCTTTTCGGGGTTCCCTTATTTTCCTTGGTGGCTCCCAGCCATCCCCTTAGCTGTTTAGGTTCTTCGTGTTTAGTGCGGTTTTCCATGTAGCCCACTAAAAGTTCGTCACTTTTAGCGTGGGCTCAGTTACGGTTTCGGACTCATGTCGAACTGTCCAGCGCACCGCTACCAGCGCACCGCCTGGTCCTCGTTGCGAGGCTTTCGAAGAGGAGGAAGATGAAGATCAGGCGAGCGAAGGGCTGGTCACTCAATACTTTCCCAGAATTAGTTCCCCCCTCTTTTTTGCTTTTTTGGGGTCCCCTTTGTTTCCACTAACCAGGCAAAAAAGATATGTTTTTGCCGGGGTCCTAATGGCTGGAATGCAGAGATGGTGCGCTCCTTTCAACTTCCAGTCACTACGCCGCGACTGGAAGTTGTTCACCGGGCAAAAATTCCCTGGACGCCGACAGTTGCCTTTAACAGAAGCAAATGCAAACCAACCCAACCAAGCCAGGCCAAGCCGACCAATCAAAACCAAACCAAACCAAACCAACCCACCCCGAACAGGGAGGATCTGGGCCGAGTGCCTCAGGAGTCAGCAGAAGAGGAGGAGGAGGAGGAAGAGGACCGCGCGCTTTGGGGGCACAAAAAAACCTGGGAAGCGTCGGCCATGTCTGTATAACGCTTTTCAGGTACGTATGACATACATACTATGTGTATATATTATAATATATATATATATGTTAAACTTGGAGCGACTGTGTAACCTAGATGCCTGAAGTGCAAACCTGAGAGTGAAGTGAAGCGCTGTTATTTTCTTATGGACAATGATGTACCAACTACTCCAGCTGTACTAAGGCTTAAGGCCTTGATTGTACAATGCAGCATTCCAGGTGTATTGGGATGCATGTATCTTAAAACGCCTCCTCAGGATGATGTATCTCATGTACATTCTCCTGAACTGTTAAAAAGGTGATGTAGCTGCTGTACACGGAGTGTGTGCTAGGCAGTGCAACTCCCTTGTGGTTCGTGGTGTCGAACGCGAGTGTCAAGCAGCTGCTGTTTCAAGCAAATGTTGTATCAAGCTATTCGACTGTGCCACTCAAGTGCGGAAGATGCATCGCCCCAAAAATTACTGTTGTATGGTCCATGATGTTCACGCATTCCTTGGCCTCTTCGCAGTCGATGTTGTAACCGCGTCCTCAGCTGCTGCCTGTGTAATGAGCTCCTCCCTGTACTTGTTCACCTTGGTGATGTCTTCAGGGTAAAATTCCTGATTCTGCATGTAGCACCAGGTGTGGTGATCCTGGTGTCCCCTGATGCGCTCGATGTCTTTGACTGCCTGTGCCCGTACCGACACATTGCCTGATGTCTGCAGGTGGTGAAGTGCCGCATCGTGATGATCTGTGCTGTTGTACTTGAGGATCTGTAGGCCCGAGTACTCCATCACCTGTGTCATTGCCGCGAGGATTGTGTCATCATCTGTTGCAGTCTGTAGGTCACTCAAACTGATAAGAGCGTTGTAGTCCCAAGCGAAACCGTTGGTCCATGAGAATCTTACTCATCTGGTTCTTGCTCAACCTGGCGATCATGTGCCTGTGTTCGGCTGAAAGCCGATGATGTACAGCTTGTCCAACTGTGCGGGTGCGATCTTGCGCTCGCTGAAAAGGTAAAGCAGTGTTGTAAGAGAGTCAAACGGGCAGGTGTTGTAGATCATGTACTCCCAAAACGGCTTCCTCATGTTGGCCTGTAGCCCAGTGTAATCACTGATGCTCTGCAGTCAAGGCGATGTACAAAACGTTGTTTGTACCAGCAGTCTTGTTGACGTGTCGCTCCATGATGTCGTGCGCCTCCTTGCCGTTGACACACCTCATGTTGTAAAATCCCACAGACGCAAGCGATGTAAACAACTTAACTGCGTGTCGTAACGCTTTCCGGTGTGCTCATCTGATGCAGCAAGAGCGGTCAAGGCCTGCATGTCCATGGTCCGATGCATCAGAAAGAATGTATCTCACTGATGTAAAAGGTAAAAGCTGCGGAATGTGTCAAATCAATGTCCGACATGTATCATGCAGAAACTATCATAAGAGGGGGTTGTATCACTCCCAGAAAAGATGTACCATGGCTCCGGGTTTCCTAGCTGAAACTAAGTTGTAGCGCTTTCACTTTGGTTGTAGAAAAGAAGGGTAACCTGTGCAACTGATGTTTAACATACTGTGCATACTATGTGAAACTGGCTGTGTTGACCTCGCAGGCCAACTGTGTACAAGTGCTTGTTGAGGGTGTCACAACTGACAAACTTAGTCAGTATGTCAGCTGGGTTGTCTTCGGATCTTACTTTGTGCATTGTGATGATTTTGCTCTTGACAAGTTGTGGTATGAAGAGGTGTCGCAGCTTGATGTGCTTTGCTTTCTTCGATGTACCTTCTCTCATTGCTATTGATTTTGCTGCGCTGCTGTCTGTGTGTATCCTGATGTTGTTGCTTCCTTGATGATGTTGCTGATGTAGAGGCTCTCCTGCGCTGCTGTACAAATTGCGTACAGTTCTGATGAAAGTGCTACTGTTGCTTGTGTTTTGCTGCCATCGTGTACTGCTGCTCCAAAGAAGTACAGTACAAATCCTGTTGTGCTTTTCCTTGTTGTCTCGCATGATGTCCAGCTGGCATCTGTGTATGTGTCAATGTTGAGTCATGTTGAGTGGAATTCGCTTGTCCTGTGTTTGTATTTTTCGTCGCAGGTTGTGTCGCACGTACCGTGTTCCTTTACGGTATCTGATCATGCGCTTGAGCTTCTTGTTGTCAAGCCGTGTTGGTGCTTGTAGTGATCTTGCTGGCTCTTTTGCTCCATAGTTGATGTCTGGTCGTGTGTATGCTAGCCATGGTATCTTGCCACCAAGCCGCCTTGCTTGTACTGTTCGTGGTCTAGTGGTGCTTTATCTTCTGCTGCACCTTTCATGTGTGACACTCCTGGTGATGGTGCTGGGTTGCATGTAGTCATTCCTGACTCCTCCAGGATGATGTCAACATAGTTGTTGTTCAAGCTGATGTCAATGTAGTCGCCTTTGTGCAAGATGTTGCTACCAATTTGTATTGTTGATCCTACTGTTAGGTCGCCTGTGTGTCTCAGCAGGACTTCCTTGTGTATCCTGCTGAAAAGCGTGTTGATGATGCTCTGTACTCCTATGAAGAGGAGGTCGTGTACATAGATCATGATGTAGACTTGGCAGTCTTTTGATCTGTAGACTGTGAGAATGTGTGCTATGCGGTCTTGCCGTTGTTTTGGTGATATTTGTTGCCTGCTTTCCTTTTGCTCCTTTTCCTACTTGTTGCTTGTTGTAGTATCCTTTGCCTTTTCTTTTGTTGCTGTCTCCTTTTCCTTTGCCATATCCTTGTTGTCCTTTGAACGGATTTCCTTGTCCAACCGGTTGTTGATTGTACTTGCCTTTTCCTCCTTTGTAGTTGGAGTAGCCGTAGTTGTTCCCGTAGTTGCCGTAGCCTTTGCATTTGCATTTGTTGTGCTTTCCTTTGCCCTTGTGTTTGCCTTTCTTTCCTTTGCCTTTGTTGCACCATGTTGCTCCAATGTCCATCGGTGCTGGTCCTTGGTTGTTGCTGCCTGATGTGATTGCTTGTAGCCTGGTGAATGATGCTGTCGCCCCGTCACCATTGATCTGATCTGTGCATATGTTGTGATGTTTCCTGCTTGCAGCTGTAGGTGTTGCTGTAGTGGTCCTTTTTGTTTCACTGAGCAGCATTGCAATCTTGACTGCGTCTGGTAGTAGTGTGTTGTTGTCCTGTTCGTACCTGGAGAGTTGAAATGTGAAGCTCTCTTCGAACTTCTGTTCATCAAGTTGTGGTTTTAGCAGCCGTGTAAGGTACCCAATGCTCCTTGTACCAAGTATGGAGTACCTTGCATGTATCAGCCGCCATGTTTCAAATCCGTTGCCTTGCATGTTTTGTCCGCAGATTGTAGATGCTGGTCCATCGCATGTGCTCACTAAGAGGTAGTGCTATCCATTGCTCTGCTATTGCTTGTGAAGGTGCTGCTGTCTCAAGTTGGTCATTTGTAACTGCCAGTTGTGATTGCTCTGACTGTCTCAGCAGTCTGTTGTATGCTGGGTCTTGCAGTCCTAGGTACGCTGTCATCTTGTACTTCCATTCTTCGAAGGTGTTGTATTCTCCTGTGAGCCGTGGTGGTGATATCTTGTATGTGTGGATTCCTTCCAGCTGCTGTTCCTGTTGCTGTTGCTCTTGTTGTTGTGCCGCTATGTTGCTCACTACTCTGTGCCTGAACCTGTGAGTGCGTTTTGGAGCTCACCCTGGGTTGTGGTCGTGGATCGTTTACCGAATCTTGATTGTGGGCCCCCAAGCGTCTAGAGTGTTTGGAACAAAACGAGGTTTTTTGGGAATCTTGATTGTAGGCCCCCAACCGTCCAAACACTCTATGGAACAAGCCAATGAAAATGGTGCACCCTCTCAGCTCGGTTCACAGCTGCCGTGAGGAGGAGACCTCGGCCAAAGCCGACGCTCAGGCGGCTTTGCAGGCGGGGCTCTCATGGAACCAACAAATACCCGCCATTTGTGGAAGCTCCTTCAAGGAGGGGGCCCCCGTTTTTCTTGGGGGTTCCATGTCCCAATCCCATAAGTAGATTGACAGGGAGATTGAAGGGTTCATGTTCAGCGGGATTGTTTTGGATTTCTTCCACGGTAGGAGGGCCTTGACAGACCTTTAATATGGGGATAGGGAACCCTTGAAATGAGTGGTTTTCTGTGTGGTTTCCTGCAACATGGCCCATTCAATCCTTCCCACGGCACAACTCTGCAAAAGTCAGGATAGCGTCAAAACCTGAATGATGGTGCCGAATTTGTCAAAGTATCACAGTGGAAAGGCAGCTCCGAACGCCCAGTTGAATGAACAGTTCCCTCAATGTTTTTGTAATGAGGAACCCCCTAAAAATGGTTGGTGCACGTGACCAGCGTGTCAATGACGTCCACCAAAGGGTCCATCAATTAAAGCATTGGGACTCCACAGCCGTCAATCACCGCTTGGATAGAAAGTTCCGGGCTCAGCATGGTTCATGGTTCGCTATTTGGCTTGCCACTCCTGCAAACAATCATGCGCATCAATTGTGGGAGACCCAGCCTCCGTTTCATGTTCCGTGTGCAGAGGTCTGCCGAGCTTTTTATGTTTTCCTCCCCCCGGCGCGTCGACCGGCAGGGGGCCCTCATGCGGGGCAAGACCGCTGCCTTCAAAGAGGCCTTCCGTGAGAACCGCCAAAGGCGAACTCCTGCACCACCTGAGCCACTGGCTCAAAACCGATTCGGGTAGATGAACAGGGCTCCTTAAGAGATCTCCATTTTGCAACCATTTGACACATGGCTATGTCACCCCGTCACATTTCGGTTTGTGAACTGATAAATTGATGCAACAAGTTGCAATTTTCTGTTAGGTTCCCATGAATCTGCAGTTGGGCCCCAAAAAACGGGACATCTAGGATTATTGTCTTTGCAGTGGCTCAGGTTGCCAGTTGGAGAGGTTTGAATTGTGCATGGGGAAATATCACCCGGGAAGATTCTAGGCCAGACATGTAATTTGAGAATGCAACAGGCATTCCTGGGCTTCGCATCCAGAAATCGACATGTCGGGCCTTCCGGGTGTTGACCAATTGATGCGACCGCTGAATGGCTGGAGCCAAAGGGACAACCGAAGTGACCTTATTAGGATACCGAATGTGAAAAGCCTGTAGACATGGCATGGGCATGGGTCCTTTGCGAGGGCAATCCCCTGGAAAAGCCAACAAGTTTTGGGACCCCTTGCGGTTTGAAAGGAAGGCCAGGGCTCTTGGTTTCGACTCGCACTTGTGGCCTTGAGCCCAGTTTCCAACCTGAAACCAGCGGTTGCAGCGAGGCTGAAAGCAAAAAGCGCACCCAGTGGATGTGCTGTAAACCGGGTGCCCCTAAAACGCCAACCAGACTGGGAATGTGTATCAATCTTTGGGACCCCGAAACCCGCTATTAGCCCCTTGGTTGTCCTTTTTCCCTAACCCCAGCAAGGGGAGCCGAGCCACTCAACCCCCCAGAAACCCGCTCTTCAGCTCGAACCGCTCGCTCGCGAGGCCATCGACTTCGCCCAGTCCGTGGGCATCGATGAGGAGATGATCTTGCAAGCCGAAGCCAAGTTGCAGGAGCACAAGGCGCGGACACGAAGCTCGATAAAAACTGGCTGGTGCGATAGGTAGGTTATGGATTCCCTTAAAGGAAGCCACAAGGGATGGGTTCAGAACCTGCGGGGATTCGTTTGTGTTTTTCTTGATCTTCCAAATGCCGCAGGTATGTGGGTGGCAGGAAGCACACCTTCTTGAGCCGCTTTATTCGGTTTGGGTTTGGAAGTTTTCAGTGGCAAAGAACTTATTTGGCTCAGGAAGTGGTGGATTCCTCTCATGCCACTGTGGCTTCGGCAGAATGGCGGTTAGTGGCTTGATCCTCCAAAGGGCGTTGACACTTGGCGGTGGTTGTCACAACCGTTTTGGGATCCCATTTTTCGGTAGGTGCACCACACATTTTAGAACCTATTTTAGTCGGGATTGGGATGCTCACTGGGGGTACGGGCTTTTGACCCATGGCCACTTTGTGGCGGTTTCAATTCGGGGAGAAGCCTGAAACTGCCACATCTTTGAGCTTCTCAAGCTGCTGCACTCATTTAAGGGAGCACAGGGACACCAACCATTGCAGGCAAGCCCTAATGTTTAGACCCCCCAATACCCCTGTCCAGCAAAGGGTCCAGCATTCTCCCCAATGAGATGCAGCTATGTATTTACCCGCATTCAAAGGCAAGCGGGGGGTTCAGAAGTGTCCCTTGCAGTGAGAAGCTAAAGCTAAGTATTGATCGTGAAAGAGGGGTGTCATGATAAAGTTTGCCAGGTCAGCCAATCGCATGGTTGTCCCCCCGAAAAAACCTGACAGACAGACGCGTACTGGAAGCCCAGCTTCAAGAGTACCTGCCGGCAACCTAGACAACGACAAGGGAGGGCGAGTTTCTGTGAGATTTGTTTCCCCTTTTTGTTGGGTTGCTTGGGGCTGTTTGTCAGACTCTGGCTTTCCGGGCATTCTGGCTTTTCCAGCTGCTTGGCTTTGCTTGCTTGGTGGCTTCATGCGAAGCTATGAACCATAAAGGCTTCCTTGAATTCAGAGTAGCGCTATTCCATGTTCTACTAGTGTTCCTTGAACCATCTTCCGTGACCGGTTCCAGGCCACCCTCACCCTCCCGAGCCAAACCTAAACCTTCCCTCAGACCGATCCTCAACAGCCAGGTTGTGCGGGAAAGGGAAGCCTTCATAGAGGACGGCGTCGGGAGCGGAGTGGCAGAGTGGCAGAGTCGCATGCACCCTGGGGACTGCCATCTTCACCGCTTAAGAAACGTGGAACCCTTCCCCATGCCATGGTTGTTGTTAAACATTTTACATTTTAGCTTGGTGTGGTTTAGTGGGAAATCCACACAGAACTGATTAAAAAAATGCTTCCCTTCCATCGTCAACCAAGCTGCATGGCAACTATCTTTGTGGTTACGAAGATATTTGATGGCGATGGACTGCTTCTTTGACTCCGAAAGGGCTTCAACGGCTGGCCACGGAGATTGGGGGAGCCGAGGGGATGAACACCCAACTGCCACCAACAAGTTCTCTGGGCGGACGGGCCATGTCTTCACATCTTCATGGGTCCGGGGTGGGATTTAGGTGTACGGTTGAAGCCTTCTTGACAGAAAATAGCCCAAACCAAGGGGATGTTGGTGGTTTGTCAAGGTAGACGGGTGAATGGCGCGTCAATCTTTGGAGTTGCGGCAGCTTCATTTTCAAAAGGATCCTGGAGTTCGGCTTGAGAGCCGGAGAATTCATGGTAGTCAAGTAGTTTTTAGAGCCCACTTTGGTATACAAAGGGTCAATTCCCATATACCCATGAATTCAGCTGACCTTTCATGCCACCATGGCAAATGTGGGCGCAAATTGGCCCATGCTGAGGGTGCTCCCCAGATGGACATGGAACCAAACATGCCTCATTGAGGAGCCTCCTGAGGAGGACCCCCGCCCCTTGCTGGTCGCGGGGGGAGGTATTTGTGGAGTGCACAACAACTACTCCCCATGCCTATGCCTCTTCGGACAGAAAGAGCGTTATGCTTGCAGCTTGCTTCACGTGACCCAAGTCTTCAAGTTCTGACAAACTCTGTTCGATCCACTTGGGATTGGCATATATTCTGTCGGGTTTTTTTGTTCCTCCCCGTTTTCTACCCATTCCAACCACGTGTCCCTATTCGATCCACTTGAGATTGGTAGATTCATACCATTTTTATACCCCATTCCAACGGGATTTAAAGATCCGCGGCGATTCTTTTTTCTGTGCGGATGCTTCCCGCTTCCAGTGAGCGATGGGTCTATCCGAGAGGCGCTGCCCAAGTTCCTGAGCTCGGAGGACGCCCAGTATGAAGCCACGGTCCAGGACTCCGGCGCGGGGGCGCTTCGGGGTGGGCGGCTGTTGGGCGAAAAATACACCGGGGTCATCATTTTGACTTTTTCTGGGGTTATCAAAGTCAGAAACTGGGCTTGTTTCCTTCAACCCACTAGGCGTGACTTTGATAAACGAAAAATCATGAGGCCAGGTACAGTGCCTCAGACTGATAGCCGGAAGTCGGGTTTGGGAGCTTCCACGGAATCGTGTGAAGGGTACCCTTCTCAGCTTCACACAGATGGGCTTGTGTTTGTTAAGGATACCCTCCACAAGGGGTTGGTGTTGAAGGGAAAAGGTGGGGGTCCAAATCCCTATCTGACACAGGCCGGGTTGTCGTGTTCATTAGGTTTATCAAAGTCAGAAGGGTGATTACCCTGAGACTCCTTGGAGAGTACCTGAAGCTACCGCGAGGGGAGTATGAACACATTTTGGGGGGTTCTCAAGAGTTAGCTTTGGCAGCCGCATGGTTCGTTTCGAACTATTCGGAGGAACATGTTTGAGGATGTTGCTGGAAGCAACCCTGCGATACTCGTACAATATTGTGGTGTGGAGTTGATGGGCAACACATGCGTGATATTAGGGAAACATATTTGTTATCCACCTTGAATGAACAAGTAGCCATGGGTAAGGCCGTTTGCCACTGGTATCACAGGCACAACCCCGTTGTGATGAGCGACTATTGTCCCAACCTCAAGAAAGGGTCATGGTTCCGTGGGCATTTGTTCATTCCGGCCTGAAACAACTGTACCCCTTTCTGATCTGACGGCTGGAGGCATGAAGTGCGTTTCTTGGGGTAAGATTACGTCACCATGTGGCTTAGGTCAGCCACAATCGAAACCCGGGTAGATGAAGGGTTGTAAGGGTTGATTCTCTACCATGGGTTTTGGACAGACCATGTCAACACCAGCTGGATATGTGTCGAAATAGGGGGAGCCCCAAAATGCGTGGTTTCGCTTTGGTTTTCCTTTTAAACCAACCCCAAACATGTTCCCTGAAACAAGACAACCCCAGATTTGATTTGGACTTATGCAGGGGAAGCACTTGGCAACCTCGTGGCCGGCTTGCGGGGATTGATGTGTTCACCTGGCATGTCCCTTTCAACAGAGGCAAAAGCCGCGTGTGAGCCACAATCAAAACCCGGGTAGATGAAGATTGGTAGGGGACAACCCCAACCAGAAATAGTTGCGGCCGCCTTCTTTTTTTCTTTACATGGTTCTGGGTAGACCATTTTTGAACCGGGTTTTGATTATGACTCACTTCAATGTAACTGAGAGGCCATTCCTTCTGGCGATTCTTCCGCTTCAGCCCGTTTCCCTTTCAACGGCCGGTTTCCCTTTTGCTTCCTGTGCCGGAGAGACCTGGCCATGGCCTCCGAGGAGAAGCTGGAGTATGCCAAGACTCAGGGCGCAATTGGCCCCAGGAGTTCTTAGACGACGGACTGAATGGGGTGGGGTTGAAACGAGGTGCTTCCGTTGGCGACCGAAGTCATGGGTTCATTTGGCATCCGAAAGGACTCAAATTTGGTAGACCCCGCTTGGGGTCACCCAAAGTTTGACACAGATGAAAGGAGGGAATCCCCCAAAAAGGGATGCTTCTAGACCCGGAATCTTCTGATCCCATTCTGGGGTGCCTTCAAAGGATTTGCAGGGGCGCAGCGGGTAAGCGCCTGCTTTGCCAGGCTCAAACCTGGCCTTTGGGCTTTAAGGCATGGAATTTCCGTCGGAGAAAATCCAGTTCAGCGACACCTTCCGATTTTTTGTTTCTCCCCTTCTTTTTTTGTGTGACCTTCTTTTTGGTCCGCTCCAAGAAGCAAATGGCCTTTCTTGTTCCCTTGCGCCCGTTCGCCTCGTCGGGTGGCCCGGGATCCGATCCTGTCGCATCGATCGCTCACGTGAGGTCCCGGAGCAGCACCTGCAGAAGCTAAGGGATCGGATCGAGGCGCCTCCGTGGGGATCGGATCGGACGTGGAAATTCCCAGGAAAGAAAAACACCGAGGGCCAAGCGGAAAGATGGGAACTCCACTTGTAGTTGGCATTCCACTTGTAGTTGGCATTCCACTTTTTGTGGGCATTTTAGGTGTTTTGTGGAGGGTTCCACTGGTTATGTAGGGCATTCTACTTGTTTTGCAGGGTATTCCACCTGGAGGCCCCAGCAAAGGCTTTTCGTTTTTCCTCCCTTGCCTCTGAAGCAACCCCAAAACGGGCACCGAATGTGTGAGGCAACCCTTAGTTGGTGATTTGCACTGGTTGGGGATTTGAACCCCAGTTCCCTTTGAAGGGTGGCCATGGTGGCCCCTTTCACATCCAAACCACTAAAAGCCACCGGGGGGGGGGGAAGACAAAATCGGTGGGTGTTACTTTCGTTCTGAGTCCGCAAGGCTCTCTGTGTGTGTGAATCTGTGCACTTTTGCCGGTCTTGTGGGCTATCCCGCATGTAAAGGAACTCGGCATGGTGACGGCTAGGCGGGGCTTGGATTGTGACTGAAAGGGGGAACCACCAGAAATGGATAGTTTCCTTTTTTTTCGTTTCTTTGGATGCCTCAAAAGAGTCCAATCTCTGCAGCTCTGCATGACAAAGCATGCACCATCACCTAACCCCATGCGCGTACCATCCAACCAGCCCAACAGCAACATGTCTAAGCTGAAGCCTATCAAATCTTTGCGCAGATAGGCTCGTTTGGGGCAGCTTTCGGGGGTCTTCCGGAGATTCGGTTCCAGGAATGTCCGGTGTTGAGGATGCCTGGGCTTTTGGTTCAACAAGCCAACAAAAAAAAATATGTGAGGGATCTCAATCTCCCCGTTCCTTTTTTTAAATATAGAAATCTATAATCTGTATATATATATATATAGATGTATTATTTTTTTTGTAAATGGTTATTAACCCGTGGTTCGGTTGCGAGTTCTTTTTTCTTTTCTTTTTTGCGGAGAACGGCGCCAGTACATCAAGCTGGGCCGGGACCTCGAAGAGGAGGAGCTCCAGAAGGCGGAGTTCGCCGAGAAAGCCGAAGCGGGGAACACGTGTTTTTTCATGGACCCCCGTGTTCTCATGGACCCCCGTGCTTTCCATTTGGGTGTGGGGAACTATCAAAAAGGGAACATACCAAAAGTATGGTATGCACCATACCAAAAAGGGAACATGATAAAAAAGGGAATATTGGAAGTATGTGTATTTTTTTGGTTTGTAGAGGGAATCTATCACTACGTAGATGTTTTTTCCAGGGGCCTGGAGCAAATGGGGGGATGCCTTCAAATGGCTGAAGTTCCTGCAGGGTGCGCAGGCGGCTGTGTTTCTGCAAGCATGCTTTTGGCAAACACCACATTGCGCAAAGCAAATGGGTCGTGCCTTTGAAGACCAGCCAACGGGTCGTGCGGCGGGTTTGAAAAAGCTCGCCCATCCATCTTTTGTGTTTCGGGCTGGAGATTGGGATGTTCACTGGGGCTACGGGCTTTGGATTTTGACCCTTTTTCCCACCTGGACAAGAAGGCCTAAAGGGGCGGCTTCAACCGAGAAGCCGCCTTTGGGGAACCAAGCGCTGGGTGCCTATGCGCTCGGCTCACAGCGTTTCCCGGCCACGAAGCTGGGCGCTGGTTTGAGTCGTCCAATGGCAAAGTCGTTTTGTCTCAAAGAGTCGTCAGCTTTCAGTGAGTTGTTTGGGTTTCCCGGTTTTCTTTTTCTTTAGAAATGGAGTCGACCCGAACAAGAAGACATGGCCCTTTGAACCAACGCAAGGTTTTCATGGTGGACCCATTGGTTTGTGTCTAAAGAGAAGCCAAAAGGAAGCCAAGCATATGAGGGGCTATTTTGAGACACCCCTGTCAAATAGTGGGAGCCATGTTAGAAAACCGCTATTTCATGTTAGATTTCCTGTTGGCTTCCTTTGAAGCTTCCCACCAGGGTTCCATGAGAACTCCCATAGGGGCCCGCAACTTTCAGAATCCCTCGCCCTCCTCCATCGCCCCGCCCCCCCCCCTTTTGTATGATGGACACTGACTTGGTCTCTTTTGCAACCTCCTTCATTCAGGGTCTTGCTTTTTTTTTCCCCCTTTAACAAACCGCTCTAAACCACGGCTTAGGGTCTTGGGTCTTTTCGGGGTTTGAGTCTGCCAAACGCCCCGCCTCCAAGCCTCCATGCCCCCCGCCCCCCGTTGAGGCGAACGCCCTGGCGGTGGACTCCACCCGGCGCTTCGTGGCCTCCTGCTTCGCAGGCGGGAAACTCCCGCGAGCTTTTCCCCCGAAGCACGGCGCTGGTGGTCAAAACCGTTTTGGGATCCCATTTTGGTGGGTAGGCGAATTCACCCATCCCATTTTTTGGAACCCATTTTTTAGTGGTTGGGTTGGGATGTTGGCTGTGCGGGAGTTTGACCCATGGCCACATATGGGTCAAAAACGCAACCCTGGTGAACATCGACATAGGCGGTGCATGGGTGTTCATCCGCCCCAAAATGGAGGCATAGGTTGTGATGGCCACATGGCAGCGTGTGGTTGTTTTTTCTCCCCGTGGGCTGGGGTTTCCCGGGATTTTTTGAAGACCTCCAGTCCCAGTTTGTGCAAAGAAGAATGGTTGAAAAGAATGAGGAATCCCCTAGAAGAATTGCGCAACTCCAAGCTGGCGAGTTTCCCTTGGTTTCGCTTTGGATCCAAAGAGGGTACCTTGAAATGAAGAGATGCCCAAATTTGTGGAGACGCACACCGAAAAATAATCTTGCTCTTTCCAAAAACCAAGCCTTGATGGACGTTGCTAAAAACATTTGTGGTTGAAACTAGTTGAAACATGTAAAAAAAGGAAAACAAATAAGAAAAAAACGAAACACAAACCGGCTCTTTGAGGCCCTCTCCCATGAAGGTAGAGGCTCGGAGCCATTTTGGAACATCCCACTGCGCAAAGGGCGGGTTATAAATAAGGTTGGGCTATGTCTCCAAGTGGAAGTATTGCCCCCAAAGCAAAGTCAGTGAGTTTTTTTGGCTTTCATTGAAGCAACCCCAACGCAAAGGTAGTGAGATGTTGCTTTCCAATATGATTTGCTAGCAGCCTGCTATGCCTGCTGGTTTGTTTCCCAAACTGCTCTTTTTGCTTCGGCCGGACTGACCTTTTGGAAATTTGGCTGAACTGGCATGTTGACCTGTTGGAAGCCGGAACGCAGTGACTCTCGCGAAGGTTTGTCACTTGCAGGGTGACACACCCAGAACTCGCAACTTCGATGAGATGCCGCAGCTTGCGCGTGCCGTTTCCAAGCTTTGAGTCAACGCATTGCTCTCAGAAAGGCTTTCTGACCACCTGGGGTTTTGTTTTGGTTCAATCAAGTGGTCCAAAGGCAAGCTTCAAGCGCTGAGTTCGGTTAAGCAGGTCTCTGCCGCTTTTGGATGGCCTTTGAGGAAATAGCAAGGATAGATTTTGACAGTTTCCTCATCCTAACATCAGGGCCCTTTTTTGGGTAGAAAAGGTTAAGTGAACATGGGGTTCATTGGTTGCCGTGATGGGCGAGTTTCAACTTGAGTTGACTCAACCCCGGTTTCTTTTGCGTTTCCATCGGAAGCAGCCAGCAAATGTGTTTCGCAATTAGGGTGGGCCCAAGAGCTAGTGGCTTCTTGTCCATTTGAGCCACACATGTTTTGCTTTGGGAAATGGCAAGTGGGCCGTTGTGAGTGGGGACTGGAAAGTGCTCCAAACTACCATAACTCCTGTGCGCACGGGCTTGTGCAACTGAATGCCTTTTGCCTTCCCTTTCTAGTTGCCACCATAGACCTCGCCAGGACAAAGCGGGGGGCAGCTCCACAAGAAGTTGCAAAATACATCGGTGCGTCTTTTCTTGGGACCCCCAAAATGGTGGGTTCCTTTAAGTGTCTTTTTTAAAGCCACCAAAAAACGGGCACCCTCAAAAAAGGACAGACCCGCATCCCGCGGCTTCTGCATCAATCCATGTTGGGCAGCTGGATCGCGGGCCAATGCTTGCGCGGGGCAGGCAGAGCTCTCGTGTATGTCCAGCCTCCTGGCAAGCAGGTCAAGGCCCAGTGGGCTGGCTGCAAGGTAGCCACCCTTGCTAAATGGGTATGGGTCAAAATTAAACAATCAGGGGACGGCAGGTTTTAGTCCATGTTTCCAATTTACCAGGGCAACCAAACCCATTTCGGGCACGTATTTTTGACCCACAGCCAAATCATCCCAGAAGCTTCTTGCGTGGTCCTTCTCTGAGCTTTGGGGAGGATGGGGGAGGGCGCTTTTTGACCGGTCCAGAACTGCTGTTGGTCCTGGATTTCAAAAAATCGGATCTCCGCTGTTCATGGTGCTTGTACGGAAGCCAACCGTGAGGTGTCCCAATTGAGTCTTCATCCCAAAGTGGCTTGCTTAGTTTGGGACGAAGCCAGCGCCCAACTAGATTTTTCCCCCAGAACATGACCATCTCAAGCTCAAGGAGAAATGTGTGAACTCAACCGTTCAGATTGCTACAAATTGCGAATTTGAGGTCCTGCCATCCTTTGAGATCCTGCGCCGCCATTTCCTTTGAAAGACCGGTGGTTTCCCTTTGGTTCTCCTTGAAACCAACCCTAGAAAGGGCAGGCTGGACAAAACACACACCCACGCACCATTTGAGACGTTCGCGAAAAAGGCGGGGGACTGGTGCGGGTGACCGCAGGCGCAGTGCTTGATAGATCCAGCCATGCGGGAGCTGCGCGTGGTGGAGGCCGCAACACTCTCTCAAATGGGTGAGAATGCTCTGAGGGGACCCAACCCGTTTTTGTGGGTCTAAACAGGGCTCCTTAAAAGATACATTTTGCCCATTTGAAACATGGCTTTTTGAACACCAAAATAAAGGGACGCCACCATTTACAAGGCAATGTTCAGGTGTATAATGTAAGGATCCCTGCTAAATTACATGGCCGTTAGTTTCCAATTTACCCCCTATCACCCAGTCTCAAGTCTCAAGGGCAAAACATGAAACAACCCATGGCAACTGAGTTTGAGTGTGGCTACCTTGGGTCTGAGGCTACCTTGGGCTGGTCAAAAAGAAAGCGCTGTCCCCATTTTATCATGCGAGGAAATTCACTTGGAAGCATAGAAGTGGCCATACGGCCCTATTTTTCACAACCAGTCTTCCCTTGGCAGCATACAAGTGGCCATATGCCCCCTATTTTTGGAGAAACAAGAAGGGGCTCCTGCACACATTTGTCCAAGCCGGACTGGCGTCGGAGACATGAAGATAGAACTGTGCTGGGAGCTTCACGGCAGGAAATGAGGTGCAGATCCCAGCACCTTGCACCTTCCATGTGCTCCTCAAGATCCCCATGTTCTTGTGATTTTTGTTGGGGTAAATTGAAAGCTACAGGAAGATCCCCTCACTCAAACTCAGTTCTCATCTAACCCTTGGGACGTCCACGGTCGAAATGAAGATCGAGTAGGCTTGCTGGGTGCCAGTCATGAGGCGACTGGCAGATCGATCGATTCGGCAGGAGACTGGCGGAGAGGTGTGCTGCGTGGCGCTGATGAGCGCCAAGGACCGACCGAAATAAGTGAATCACAGGCGTCCTTTTTGGGTTAACTAGACATTCCATTTACCAGGGCCATCTATTTTTCCAAAAGGACACCAACGAATTGAATGCCATCCGACGGGGTTCCACGTTTTGACCCAAGGTAGACTTAGGCCCGCGAGCGGCTCATGTGCCCCATGCTCTGGGCTGAAGTCTTCCTTGGGGTGGTCAAACATTGAACTTTTAGCATCCAACAGTCGCGCTTTTCCTTGAGGTAAAACAAGGCCGTTCCTTAAGTGTATCAACCTTTGATCGGGCAAGGTATCCAGTCTGTTAGGGACATTGGGGAGAGTCACTCAACTTGAAGCGAAGCCGATGCGAAGGCGCCATTCTTTTTGAAGAGCAGACAAGCGTTTGCCGGGCTCCGTAAAAAGCCATCCGGGTCTTCTCAAATGGACTGCCTTCCTGGATCAATCTCCGCATTATGTTGTTTCGCGGTTTGCCTTGTTGCTCTTGTCTGGACCTGCCATGGTTCGGTTCTGGAAACTTCAAATGGTCAGATGGAACGATCCAGTAAACATGGCCATTCAGAACTTGGATTTCTGATTTGAAGTGGTGAGATGGAGTACGTTGTGCCGCTGTTTTCCGTATCTGAAGGGACAGCACCATGAAAGGGACCAGTTTCATGGTTGGTGTTGGGAAACATTTCGCATGTTTGCTTATTGAAGTTTAGTTTGGGAGCATCGGCCTCTTTATGTTGGTCTTCTGTGAGGGAGGTTGCCATGTTGCAGAACTATTTCTAAATTACACAGAACTACTGAGAAGCGCAAGAGGCGCTGAAGTCAGCCCGCAACAGGAGTGCAGGGCGGAAGGTTTTGAGTGTCAGAGTGTGACTCAAAAGGGATTCAAACAAACCGACCCCAAAAAGGACACCGCGCTTTGTGCTGCAGCTTGTGTTGGCTGGTCAGTAGATGTGTTCCATGCTAGTGCTCACTGTGAGCAGTGAGTAGTGCAGAGGCGCGGAGGTGGGAAAAAAGCTGCCGCTGACATCTGGAGTTTGGGCCATTTTAGGACGCCTTTGGACCAGTTTATGCACGTCATGGCCTTGGTTCTTTATTTGGTGATGCAAGTTTTGAGCTACTGTAGGACCACTTTTATGAATAGTTCCTGGAAATTTATCAATATTTCTGAAAGACGTTGACAGGCTCACGGACAAAGAGGCCAATGCCCGTCCCAAGGCTTAGCGGTTGAAATCCCCCTAAATTGTCAACTTTGCATTTTACATTTTACTTGACTGCTAAATCGGAAAAATGCATTTTACATTGTACTTAACTGCTAAAATTATAAAATTGTTGCCCCCCTTCCAAAGCCAACCAACGTTTAGGGGACTGCTTCCTATGACAGAACACGGCCAGGCCTGCGCTGGCGTGGTGGCAGAGTTGGATGAGAGTAGCAGCTTGGCTTCCAACCGCCTTGATCCCTGGCATGTGGAAAAGTCCCCTTTTTTTGAGACCCAGTGGTTCAAACGGATCCACCTTTGAACCTGACGGTCTTCCTTTTTGTTGGTCCACTTTTAAAGGTCCCAAAATGCAAAGGTGAACCTTTTGTTTCTAGGTCCTTGGGGCAAATGAGGAAGAGAACCGGATCACTTTTGGGAAGAATCGTCATCCACCAGGTTGGCCAATTTAAAGTTGAGGTCTCGGAAACCTGTAGGGGTACAGATGGACTTGCTTGATCAACACGAGCGCCAGCTTGCGCTTCATCTCAGGCGGCTTTACTGGCCTGTCAGATGACGAGCAGGAATCGCTTCCGCCAAATTGTGTGCTGGTTTTGACGGTTGAGGGGGTTTTAAGCATTCCGGTTTGGGCCAATTCAAAGTGAGCTTTGCTTTAAGTGGGGTATTGAAGATGCAAGTCCTGAGCCTTGAAACCGTTGATTGTCTTTCGGGGGGGCTAGACAGCATGAGAATCACTGCACACTGCGTGTGTATCAAATGTGTTGGATTTAATCCCCTTTTGCTGCCCCCAATTAAAGTTGCTCCGATTGCTTGCGCCAGAGGACGTTTATATGATTATAGCTCTGAAAGGAGTCAATTTGCTAGAACCCATCCGATGGGTTGGGATGTGCTACTTTCTCCCTGTTCTCCCTGTGCTGCTGGGGGCTTTCTTGCAATCTATATAGATATGTATATATAATATGTATACGTATATATATATATGCAAATAGACACGTTCGATCGTACGTTAACAAGCCCGCGTGTTTTTGACCAGGGTCTTAAACACTTGATGGGGGACCAGACATGGTCGCGCCAATCCCGCGTTTCAATCGGATTTCTGAGATCGCCTCATGTGTTTTGCAAATCGGGTTCCTGGCCTCGTCGCACTCAGAATGCCTTTTTGGGGCTCCAACAACGCGCCTGTTGGGATGTTGGGAAGGAAATACGCGGGTGGCATAAATGGGTCCGTTTCAGAGGAATCACCTGGCTCCACACGATTTTTGAGGGAACCTCACTTTATACTGTTTGGGGTTTTAGTGTGTGTTTTTCCCTTGTGTTTTTCGCTTGCGGTTTTCCCTTGTGTGAAAAACTGGGGCGGGGGGCCGGGGTGGTCGGGGGCGAAAAACCCCGAAGGACCGCTCCATCGCGCTGCGCGCCGGCTCGGGCTGCTGGCTGCTCCTGGAGCCGGGAAGCCCCGGTTTTCAACGGGCCCGTTTTTTTTGGCAAACACGCGAATGAAATGACTCGTTGCTGGAAATCCAGCGGCAGTATGTTTTTTTTGGGCGACAGGTTGCTTCCAGTTGCTGAAATGAAATTTGCTGAGATGAAGAGTTGGTTTTCCCCCTTTGGTGGCTTGTGTAAAAAGAAGCCAAGCTTGGCGACTGTGACTGTGGTCTCAACTTGGTTTCTAAGTGTTGGATAGTGGTTCGAGCCATGGGTTTTGAACAACGACCTTTCATTGTTGGGTCTTTTGGACACGAATGGTCACAAACTGCTGACACGTTTCACGCTGGGCGCCCCTTCAAGAGCGGTGCCACATGATGCCGCGTTCCTTTTAGAAAACACCTTAGGAAGAAACGCAGGATTCAGGTAACGATAACACACTGGTGTGGCTTCAGCTTCTGGTTGAGTCCAGCGGCGTCCTCAGAATGGGGACTCTTTGGATGGGGCATCTGGGCATGTGTCAAATTTGTGACCCCCTAAATAGTTTGGTATTGTTTTGGTTTTGCTATACCAATCAGAAGGGGCAAACAAGAAACACGAACGCCTGTCTAGTACATCTAGACAAGTTGGAGACCGAAGCCACCTTAGCTACAAAGGGGAAATCCGCAGGAGGCATCCAACACAGTATATTGGCGGGAGCCTTTTGTTTCCCTTCAACAGCCCAGTCTTGAGGAAATTCTCGGTTGTTCTTAGGAGCCGTTGTCAGTAGTTAGTTGGAACAAGAGGAATGACACATGGTGTGCTTGCCAAGCGGATGCGCGAAACCCCCGTGTGGAGGCGCTGCAGATTGATGTGGCTGAAATGCCAAAAGGGCCGACTTGGCCAAGCAAATTCTCACAGCGGGCGCTCGGTAACCCGTAAATAACACCGTTCAACCATTTACTGTAGGAAACAGGTTAACCACTTGTCTTTGGTTTGACTCCCCACTCTTTTCAACCATCACTCGTTTCAACAACCGATCGCTGATTGAAAAGAAGAAGGGGTCCCCGGAAAGAATGGGGAAGTGGAACAGCTTCCCCTCGACTGGTCTTGAATCATCTTCCATTTGCCAAGAGAAGCCTGGCAACTTCACCATTCCACCCTTTGACCAATTTGGCTGTGGGTCAACAATAGGGTAACCCCAAAATGGGGTGCCCTGGTAAGTGGCAACATTTTGGGTACCATTTTGACCCACAAATGGTTTTGGTACCATTTTGGTTAACCCTGGTAATGGAACCCTGGACAAACACCTGTGGTCCAATTCCTGGTGACTAATTTTGACCCACACCCAGATCTATTGCACCTCAAGGCCCCGGCTCGAGCTCCAGACGGAGTTCCTGTTGGCCCTGGCGGTGGGAGCAGTCGCGGTTGGAGGTTTTCTCCTTCGGGTATGGCCGGCCCATGGGATCACGGCGATTGCTGGGGGGTTGTTTGGGGTCCTATCCAACAAACCACACAACAAAAAGACATATTTCAACATTCCAACTTATTTGGTTAAAACAGGTTGCACCACAAGAAAAGCGAGTGCAAACGTGATTTGTGTCCGTGTTGGTGGTTTTATAGGGGGCTTTAGGCAAACCGGAAGGGTAAGCCACGATGGCTTGTACGGGTCATTGCATCCATGTCCGGCTTTTTGTTTTGAAGCAACCCAAGAAAGGGTGTCAACCTCAAAACACACAAGCAATAAGAAGGGCTCCCCGTATATTATATATGTCATATGTATACATACAGATATATCCCTTGGTTTAGAGCATCACATGCTTGGCCCTTGGCAGGTGCGATCTTACATAGAATTGAATGATATGGGGAAGCTTGTGGCTATTTAGACTTGTTCTGGGGCTATGAAAGTCTTCGGCTGGGATTGATTCCCTTTAACCTACCACTTGGGAGGCCCTTTGGCATTCCTTGAAAAAAAACAACACACATGTGGGGAGCCTCCTACAAGGGGCTACCGTTGGGGGCTGAGCACATGAACTTGCCCTGAATCCATGCAGCGATTGGCCGACGTTTGCCGTGGATTCGCACGAAAATGGGTCTTTGAATGGAATTCGTCGGCAAGAACCATGCCAAGGTTTCACATGAGCCACCATCAAAACCCGGTAGATGAAGGTTAGTAAGGGACAATCGCAACTATAAATAGCTGCGGCCGCCTTCTTAATTCTTTACATGGTTCTGGGTAGACCATTTTAATACCGGGTTTTGATTGTAACTCACATCAATGTATCTGAGAGGCCATTTCTTCTGGCGATTCTTCCGCTTCAGCCCTGCAAAACCGCGCGACCGCGGAACGGAATCTTATGCGTTCAACAGGCCCATACATTTTCCAACAAGGGTCGCGCAGCAAGAGCCGCCCTACCTGCAACTCAATACATTCGAGAACCGAACAGTGCAGGGCAAAACTTGTCATTTTCCTGGTTGGAATACTGACCGCCTTCTTGGACGATGGGAGGGGATATACCGATCAGGGGTGGTCCTTTGAGCGGGCATCATCTGCGGGGGCATCCCAGTAGTTGGTATGGGTGGCCTGGACTCTGTCCAATTTATCCTTGAGAGAGTGGATGTTTGGACATTTTGATTGGGGGAGGGACCTTTCTTGACAAGGAAGCTAAATACCATGAGACTGGGCCTGACATGTCGACGTGGTGTTCCATTATTCCCAGCAATGGTTTTGGGCTCTGAGCCAACCTTGGATTTGGGGCGGCCTTTGGGCGGGTTCCAGGAGGCACACGGTGCACGAGTTCCTCTAAGATAAACCACATGATGTCCCTCACGGGAAAAAGAGGATGAATCAGCTTTCATTTTTTGTTGTCCCTTACATCAATGATTATTTCGTACAGGGAGGAAAAGTTCTGAATCGGATTCCAGGTCCTGGGCGCTGGCAATGGCCGGGGCTCCTGGTCCTTCTTGAACGTTGTTGCTCCATTGAAAGAACGGTTCGTTTACCTGGCGTGTCTTGTTTTTTGAAGCTTGGACCCCCCAAGAAGGGTTGGTTTTCTTCTGGTTTCCCTGTAAAACCACAAAAGAAGGGGTACCCTCAAAAAAAGACAGACCCACTTGGGGCCTGTGAGTAAAATTAGCGTATGGTTTGCCCAATGCTAGCTCATGCATGTCCGAAACTTCCAAAAGTGTGCTAATTGTACCAAATGGTTCGGTGTGAAAACTGAGTGTTACTTACCATATGGATGTTTATGAACTTAAAGAAACTGTAGAAGGCTACCCCGCCCAGTTGCAGGTGATGGTCATGAAGGTTTTAGACAAGCAACGTGAAGGCGCCCATCAGAATATCAACGCCAAGCTGCTTTTTGAGGAGTTTGCGCTTGGCAAATGGAAGCAGCGTACTTCTTCCTGGTCTACTGTTGGTTTTGGGGCAGAAGGGGGGAGACCCCCGAATTTCAAGCCAGAAACCCAAGGGGCGTGCCCAACAAGAACAAAGCATATATTAATTGCAGCTCCTGCGAGGTCTGTGGTCAACATGTTCAGTAGTCTACGCTTCAATCTGGGTAAGGGGGGGGTGCGGGTGTAGGGGACTCATGAAGTTTAAGCCACAGAAGTTATGGGGGCCTTTCCACGGGTACGGCATATGTTGCTCCTGGCTCACTTAACTACCCACGAGGGGATGTACGAAGAAACCCTATATATGTTTGATTTGTTGTTTGTGACATCAGCTTCAGGCGCTTTGAACAGAGAACTCCTCACTGGGTTAAACTAATGGAATCCTTTGCCATTGCCTGACACAAGACAAGTCGAGCATCGTGTTCGAGCCATGGTTGTATGCAAATGTATAAAAATACAGATAGATAGATAGATAGATAGATAGATAGGAAGGTAGGTAGGTAGGTAGGTAGATAGCTGGATAGATGTGATAGATTTGATAGTTTTGATCGATTAGGCAGATTGATAGGCTTGATAGATTTGATAGACAGATAGATCGAGAACCGATAGATCGATAGATGGATGGATTCCACTGGTTGGAGTGATGTTCGCTTAAGCATCTCGGTCGCCCCCGCATAGCCGAGGTGAGATGAAGCTCACCTCCACCGCCAGCATGAAGACCTGGTCCATGCGCGGGGCCCCGCGTGTCTTTTGGGTGGGGGCGGGACCCGGCTTTGGTTTTAACATGGTTGTTGTTGGAAATCATTTTACATTTTGCTTATTGTGGTTTAGTGGGAAATCCCCACTGAACCGCTAAAAATTAAAGTTTGCTCCCCTTCCAATGTCAACCAAGGTCAAGGGACGCCAAAAAGGATAGTGGCGATGGTCACCATGACTGCTCTCGCAAAAAGCCCCAGTGGCGCCTGGCTTTGTACGTGGCAAGCCGCGTCCGGCGTGCACAGTACTTTTTTGGGGTGTAAAGGGAAACCAAAGGGAAGGCCCAAGCCGTTTTGAGGGCTCCAACCTTAAAAACGACACCCATCTCGGAATCCGGGGGGACAGTCGCCAGTCGGTCTCCTTTGGCAAGCTGGATTCGGATTTTCGGTCCGCTGAAACGGAGGGCGCGTCCTGCGTGCCCTTCCTTGCGGATGGCAACCAACTTTTTCCACTCGTCAGGAACAGACAATCCAACAGAAAGGGTTGAATCATTATATAATATAAGCTTATATTGAAAAGGAGTTGAAGTTTGGTTCCTTACCCGGTGCCAGAGAAAGCTTTTCGTCAAAGCGTGGGTTGAAGCTTGACCAAGCAACAGGGTTGGTTTCTTCTGGGTATCCCATTTAAATGGCCTCTAAATGCCAAGCAACAGAGATCCACATGCGCGTTTGTGTGTGTGATGTTCAACACTGAGGCTCCGCACCTTACAAACAGGAAACCCAAAGCCCATTTTCCGGGGTCCTGTTTACCCTACACGCAAGCTCCCGCCCAGGTCTGGCAAGACGCCCGTGGAGAGGTCGCCTAGCGGGCACCTCAGCAAACTCGCTCCCAAGCGCCGGGTTTTTGGGTCGAGTGCGCGTGGGAATATCCTGAAGTCTTACATTTGTTGGCCGTAAATGATGATCAAAGACATGATTTATATCCTAAGTTAGAGCTTGAAGGTTGGCAACAAACCTCTACTTGCTGTTGGCTTGGCCCGACCCCTCCTAGTGTTTTTGCTGGCAAGGGCAGTAACGGAGAGTGGTAGACAGGGGCTTCTTTGACTTGTTTGATTTGTGCCGCATGCCTGTCCAGGCGAGGCGGGGGCTTTTGCCCGGTCTGTTGAGTCGCAGCAATTTCAGAATGGATCACTTGCCTATGCCGCAACACCACATTTCACGGGTTAGAGTTCTTGTCCACTCGCGGTCGGTAAATCAGCAGCTCTTCCGAGCACTTGGCTTTCGCTGGCATTGCAATCCAGTCCTGTAGTCTGAAAGTACGCTCCGAGTGGATTCCCTGCTGCCTTCTGGACCGCCCTCCAGAACACGGAAGCCAAACATGTCGCCCAAATGAGATGCCTGCAGGAGGGACATGTGAAGCTGCAGGAATGCAAGCACCCCAAAAGGAGGTCTTTGCGTTGGCTTTTGTCAAGCTTAATTGAGTGTTTTGTCATCAGCTCTATGCGAGATCAGTGTGCTCTTTGGTGTCCACATGGCACGGCTCACCGCAGAGCGGCCCTTTTGCTTGCTTTAGACGTCATTCTGCAGCTGCCAATTCATGGGGGCTTCCTCTACGGTGATGTTGGCGGGGGACAAATGGGGACACCTGCTAAAAGAGCACCGGGAGACTTTGCCAGCCACCGCTAGCAGGTGTCGGGCAGGTGTTTTTCTTCGAGGTCAAAGATGCTGAAGCTCTCCCAGAATCTTCGATTTTATCCCAAAAGTTCAGGTCGGGGTCAAAGAAGCTGGATCTCTCCCCAAGAATCTCCGCCTCTTTTTCTCCCCAAAACGTACAAGCTCTGCCTGGACCCCATGACTCGAAGCTGACCTTTAGTCCGCTTCTTCCCATCGGCCAAGCCGGAAAACGTCATCTCGATCCGGTTCCGGAGGCCTGCCGGAGCTGGAAGCCCTGGAGGAGACGCGAGTCGCCCGCCTTTCCGAGGGGTTGGACACTTGGCCACGCAAAGGGCACAGGTCTAAGGGTTGAAGTTCCAAGTCCATTCTTCTCAACCCTCCTTCTTTTGGAAAACCGGATCCGTTTCCCTGGGTTGGAGGTTTTCTAGAAAGGAGGATCCCTGGAAAGAATGGGGAAGGTAGCACTAGAACAGGGCTTTTGGGGTGGGAAGAAGCTGCGGAGACGGTGGACCACCTCCTTGGAAAAGGATGCATGTGGTCCGGTTGCTGGGGGAACGACGCTGCCGTTTTCCGCCCCTTTTTCCTAGGGTACAGAGGGAACCTGCCTTTGCCGTCGACGGTGCGAGCCTCCTAAAACCGAGTTTGGGGATTTTTGGACGTCCTGAGGCTCCCTCAAACATTTGCAGGAGTCTCCTCAGGCTTTCCATGCAGAAGATCGTCAGGGAAGACGAGCGATTTCAAGGGCCTGTGGGTCCCTTACGTGGAGATTCCCTAGTTGTGGGATGGTCTTGGTAGGCAGCATCCTATATCCCGTTTGCTAGCACCCGCTTAGGATCACCCAACGTTAGTCAGGTCTTCTACCTTTTTGGACGACTGTTTGCTTAGCAAGCAATACATTTCAGTTGTTGCAGGGTGTTAATGACCAATTCAAACTTCATGGCACATGTGGCGCATCTTTTTCGAGGGTGCCTTTTGAGGTTTGTCTGAAACGCATCATAATTCGTGAAGATCGGATGGTCAACGGTGGGAGCTTTGCCACGGATGTTCACAAAGCTCCTCCCCGGCCCCCGGGCCCCAGTTATCACTCAGGCGCCTTTGCCTACCAAAGAGAACAGGGCGATCCCTGGATGAAATGAGGAATTGGATTTGCCATGTGCGCACCGAGCAAGCAAGCCTTGGAAGGTCTCCGAGCACCAGTCAGCACCGGCCAGCTTTTCAATCTGACGTGTATCTCATGTCCCGGAACGAAACTGCGCGCGTCGAAGATTTTGAGGCTCGGTGCATATGCTATCAAACCAAAAGGAACTCGCCCATGTGCCATAGATTTTCACCCAAACCACCAGCACCGCTTCAGACTGCCAGGACGAAGCGGAGGCGAGGGCGCGTTGAATGTCCGGTTTTTGGAGGGGACCCAATTGAGGGGATCTTTTCCATGAATCAGCGAGGAATACAAATTTGCCCATTGACATGAGCCTCAGAGCATTCCAAAGGTACAACTCACCTGGCGCAGTTGTACACATGAAGCTTGACCTCCAGACACATGGCGCAAATGAAGTCAGCTCACTTCGGTGGTAAAGCTAAGAATTTGGAATCCCATGAAGTCTCGGAGATTCCTTTCCGGTTGGGTCCAGATTGTGTCTTGACTGGTTTGTGATGGGCTTGGGCCGAGGGCACCCTGATTTTTGCACAGTCGCGTCTCTGAAGCTTATTGCTGAGGGCTCCTGAAAGATGTAAGGGTCCCAACCTGACGTGCCAATGATGTTCCCCATGTTGAAGGTAGTTCTCCAAAGGGCCGAACAAAAGGCGTTGGGCAGGTTTGATTCACATCGCTAGCATTCCTGGTGCGCCATGGTGCAGGAGAAGAAGGGGAAAAAGGAGAAGAAGGACAAGAAGGAGCGCCACAGCTTGCGTAGAGCAGAGCTCACGAGATGTCAGCAACCAAGCAGAAACACGGAAGATATAGCAGCGTTGTTGGATTTGAACACATGGGGCCCATCCAAATCCAGCTTTCCATGACGGCCTTCATGTTGTCCATGTCATCTTGGGTAACAAAAATATATGGTCCGTAGCTGTGCGATTCTGGCAGTCGGAGTCGCAGGAGAAGAAGGAGAAGGATGAGGCACCGGAGCGTGGCCAGAAGCTTTGCAATAGACGTGTCTGCGCCCAGGGGACCCTGAACGGATACATGGGTTTCAGCTTGAAAGCACACTCAGGTAGCATCCGAAATGGACACATTTGTTGGCAACCTATGTCTCAAGCACAGTGAGTAACTCCCCTGCCCAGAAACACTGGACGTTGAACTGACGGATATGTTTGCGAACAACCCGCCATGACGAGTTTCTCAAAAGGAGATAGATGCTGACTGGCTCCGCGCAAAAAACACACATAATAGTCAGACATGCAGCAGGAGAAGAAAGACAAGAAGGACGCGCTTGCAGAATCACGTCGGCACGCTGTCACATTGGCATGCATTTCGTCACGCATGAAAGACCAGTACTTAAACCGTCCACTCAGGCACCAAATTGCCCCTCCCAATGCTGCCCTTTCATGCTCGCATATGTCGATTGCAAAGGGAAAGGTTGAGCAGCAAATTCTTGACTGCCTAGTGCCCAGAAAGTTCATTTGGACGGAAACAATAGCAAGAGATGCATTGGAGTGGCTGCTTGTACGTGCAGGACAAGAAGGACGGCGAGGCCGGTCCAGATGCAGAGTGACAACTTGGCACAGTTTGAACTGGCATATGTGGTCACATTCACAAAGCACAAGGCACGTCAACGCGCAACGTATTGTACGGGCCTGAATAGGAATTGATTTGTGGGGTATACGGTATAATAAAATATAATTATTTATTTGGGCAGTAATGTTTGTACCTGTTATTTTGCCCTGAAATTACCTGTGATGATGCCTGCAAAAGAGAAAGATAGAGCGATAAAGAGAGAGAGAGAGAGAGAGAGAGAGATTGAGAGAAGAGAGAGCAAAGATACATCATTCCGCGCTTGAGTGCTACCCATGCCACGCTGCCAAAGACCTTGGCATTCGTTTGAGGGTAATCTTTGCAAAGTAGCATGGCCCCCCAAAAATACAAATTTGTTAGCGGGTCGCTTTGGAACAGGCAGCAAGGAATCGGCAACTGGCTGAGCCGGGGGGGAGCCATCTGAGGCTGAGGCTGCAAGTGCCACAGGGGGGGACAAGGCTTTCTTGGGAGAACCCCCCACAACACGTGGTGGACCTCGATGGGGTGTGGGTCAAAATTAAACCACCAGGGGACCACAGGTTTTAGTCCTTGGTTCCATTTACCCGGGCAACTCCTTTTGGGTACCCATTTTTGACCCGCAATTGTCTCCTTGGTTTCCTTTTCCATGTTTTTGTTTCCGCGAAAACAAGCAAACAAAACCTACCTTGAAAGGAAAACACATGCCCGGGGATTCGGTTCTCTTGTTGGAACAATCGAGCATGGTAGTCTTATGGCCTCTTCAACTGTTTCATCTCAAGGGACATGTCATGAGCCTGAACTGCGGTGAAGTTGAGGATGAGGAGAAGAAGGAGAAGAAAGAGAAGAAGGACGCTGCAAGCATGTGAAAGGATCACGGTCATGTTGTGTGATAAGAACAATCTCTTTGTACAGTCGATATGTCTTAACACAGAACGACCGCACTCTGAAGCTAAACATGGAGCCCCGAAAAGATGCATTCATGGAGGGAGTACGCTGCCCTTACAACGCTTGTGCTCTGCAAACACAGCGCCATCAGCGATGTTCAAGACCTGCTTGTTCGCTTGCACACAGGTAAACCAGACAGGCACGCCAAGGCTTTGCCCATGGTTTGGGTCCAATTCCTGAGAGCGAAAATCTCCGGCGCAAACTTGAACCACGTGGATGTGCCCTGTTTTTGCGACCAAAGCAGCCCCCTTTTGGCATGGCATCAAAGAAGACCGATGGAAATGCCAAGGGCTCCGGATCCGCCAAGATGGGCAGGAGAAGAAGTCCAAGAAGTGAGGTTCTGGCCTCAGTCCAGTCAGACCGCTGACTTGGTTTTCGTGGCTTTTTGGTTCTGAAGGTTCAGAAATGGGGTTGCCTTGGGCTGTCATGTGAAAATGGCACCTTCCCTTGCCATGGTTCTTGACCCAAGGGTTCCCTTCGTACTTTGCCCTCTCACCTCTTGACTCCACAAAACCTCCCGACTTGAAGCCACTCGTTGGGAACCGGCGGCTTTCAGATTTCGGATCGATTTGGCGCAACGCGGAGGTGGGAACCGTTTCACTGGCCGCGGTTTGCGGTCGCAGAGACGCAAGGCAATATATTTTAGTAGCAGGCGCTTTTTGAGGTTAAACAAATTATTGAGTCAGGCCAGCTGGAACGCCATTGTCCAATCTGATGCAGGCTGGAACCTACTCGGGTCTATCTCAAAATAGGGGAGCCCTTTTTCGCGTTTGAAAAAGAACACCACAAGGACTGAAGCTCACAAGTTTGGTTAAGCATGTAGAACTGGCCTCCACTGATGTTGCCCACCGCCACTGGCCCTGTTGCATCACTCGCGTCTTTGCGTTTCTGTAAGCGGGCCCCGATTTTCCGCCTGCCTCGCTCTGAAGCTGTCAAAAGTATAGTGCTGTACCTTTTTGAGAGCCCAAAGGAGGCACCAGATGCCAGGGTTCCGAAAGGGGCCGAAGCCTACTCTTGGCAGAGAGAGCACGAAAGCTCTGTAAATACACGAACCCGGCGGCTTCAGATGTGTCTGTTTTAGGCTCGAACACTTTTTGGGAAGTTCCAGCCATTCGAAGACTTCGGGAATTGGTGGGCTTTCTGAAAAAAGAAAGCCCAACCAGCTAACCAAGCATCTGCAAGGACTTCCCTTCGGCTTCGGAAAATCGATCGTTCTTTTTCTTCCCCGAACGACCGCAAGCTTGGCTTCAGTCAGTTCCCTTTACACACGCCTGAAACCGCCTGGGCTTGCAGGATTTCACCCCCCAAAATCGGCGGGCGAAAAGGAGATGGGGAGCTCGGCCGCCATGGCAGGCCCCAAGGCCACTGAAGGTCACGTCAAGCCACTTGAAAGCCATGGGGGGGGGCGGTCTTGGTGTGTGCCGCGCTGGCTGTGTTGGATGCTTTGCGGCTTTTGCCACGGAAAGGACATGTCCATTCTGTGTGGGTCTTTTTTTCGGATCCTCCGAAAGGTCCCCTGCGCAAAGGGCATACTTAGTAGTAAGATGTTTGAAACGGACCATGGTTATAGCCCTGTTGACATAGTTGTAAGCCCCATAAGTGGGCTTAAGGCGCGCAGTTTGCTACTTAAGTACTCAGCACCATGCGCTTCCATCTGATGCCTTGCAACTGAACAAAATGTCCAGCAATCTCCTGGTCAGGGCTGGTCAGCATTTTGGTGTTTCCAAACAAAAGGTATCCTCGAGAATGTGTTCTTTCTCTTGTTGAACTTATGAACTTGCTTTGAACAACAAGGCGCGCCTCCCTAGACCTTTAAACCACCCCGCAAGCGCCCTCAAAAACCTTTGTTGCATTTTGCTTGCATGTTAGGACTGTAAGTTTTTGCCAACTAAGGGGGTTTCCATTCAACCACTAAAAGTTAAACTTTTAGCGGGGGAGCGGAAAGCAACCGAGATAAACATCCCATGGCAGGGCCCTAGTGCCCCTGCCACCGCTCGCATGCGAGCTCCGCGAGCGCGCCAAGCCGCACGCAGGGCTATGCCGGCGGGGGCACCGGCGGGAGCTCGGGCCGCCACGCGCGAGTGGAAGCTTGGCCGAAGTGGAGTCCACCTGGGCGTGTCTTGCTGTAGGCCGCCCTTTTTTACGGGGCTCCTCAAAAAAGCGATTTTTGTGGGTGTTAGGCCGCCTTTCTCGGGGGGCGCCTCAAACAAAATGCGATTTTTCTGGGTGTTAGGCCGCCTTTCTCGGGGGGCGCCTCAAACAAAATGCGATTTTTCTGGGCGTTTGGCCGCCTTTTTTGGGGCTCCTCCAATATGCGATTTTTGTTGGGGGGTAGACTATGGATGAAGAGAGCCCTTGCTACACCCGAATGGGCAAGTTGACAGCCTGTGGGACATGTGGAAAGTGAAACATCGAAACCCTCAACACAGTGGTTGTTCCGTGGGCCCCACAACTTATCTCAAATACCGAACATCTTTTCAGGCGGGGACAATTTGAAAGCCCTTGAAAGATGAGTGTAGGGATTGATTCCCCACTTGCAGCCATCATTATTTTCAATAACCAGCCCTTTTCTCTTGACTTGTGGTTGTTTTCAGTTGAAAAAGCAACGATGCCGGAATGGGAGGAAGTTGCCTTTAGATTGATTGGTAGGGGGCTTCCGTCCCTTCGCCATGCGGCTTGATTTGTCACAAAGAATATGGAACCCCCATCACACAATTCCGTTTGGATTCCCGGGAACGAAGCCAGCTCTTGAGATCTGCAACGCAGAAACAGATCCGGGCTTTTAGGGACACACATTGCGTATAGAGAACTGGGAATGCTCCATTGCCCCGATGGGGTCGCGAGCTTTGGATGGATTCTGTATGCTTGTCATAAGCTGAGAACATCCCCACCTGCACTCGAGGGACCCTTCCCCACTTTTTCCCGTTGGGAGGGGCCCGGCATCATGAACACCTTGGTGCCGCGTTTGTTTCTCCCAAAGTTGATTTTTTGCAGGGTGGCAGATGGGAATGCTTCCCGTGAAATTCTTAGATTGCCTCCAACCATATGCAGGTCACGCAACAAATCATTTAACATTTTGTTAGCCGGTGGCCCTCACTTCGGCACGTTCTCATTTGTTGGTCATGCTCCTGCATTCAAAGGCTACGAGGAAAGGCATCGTTTATGAATTTATCGTTCTGTCCTAAAACCTGAGTGAACATCATGTCCACCACCAGGACCCCCCAACGGCTAGCAAATGTTTTGATTGGTGTACCCTTAAACAAGACACCCATGTCAAGAAGGTTTCCGTGCTTCAGGCGTTGCTCAATCCGTGTGTGGGGTTGCCCATGATCCAAGACGGGACATCATTACATGGAACGACATGTTGACCACCGGTCTCCCGTCTCCAACAGTATGTGATATGTTGCTTGCTGGTTCTCAGGGAATGAGGGAATGACCCCGAGAAAAACCATCCAACTGTGGTTTCCTTTGATGGGACCAAAGCCTGGCTTCCTTCCGAACACCCGGACTCGGTGATTCCCTACCTATCGGTGTAGTGAAGCGATATCTGAAGATACGACTTTGTACCCCGGAGTGCCGAGCCTCGGAGGGGCTTTGGGCTGCTCGCTTGAGGCACAATCAACACCCGGGGTTTGATACCGGGGTTTGATTGTGACTCACTTGGCTTCTCATCAGGCAAAATACCAAAGCTGCCGCTGCGGGAACTCCCTCATGTGGCTCGGCGGACAACTTGTGCGCCATGCTTCAGGGTCTCTTAGACTTCCCCCGTTGGATCAAACGTAGCATGCCTTTCCTGACTGAGTCATTCCAAGCGGCGTCAAATTTGGGATGGAAATACCAGTGCGTTGTCGAGCGAGAGCACAACGTTGCGAAGACTTGAACTTGCATGACACACCAAATTGCCCTGCTTCCAAGCGAATCATGGAAGTCAGGGCACCTGTTCAAGATTAGTCTTCCACAACCTGTGCTTAGTCCACCACCCCCCCCCTCCCGTGCACTTCCATGGTGGTTGGAATTGAAGTTTGGCTAAAAGGTCCTTTCTGGGCCTTGCAGTGAAACAGTGGGCGTGTTTTCAAAGGCAAGGCAGCGGGAGACGCAGCCGCAAGCACTGTTCCCTTTGTTCACTTAGAAGCAAGGCCCAACAGAAAAAGCAACACACACACAAACAAGAAATTCCGCCGAAGTCGCGCAGAAGTTTTGCGGAAGAGGCGCGGACGAGTTTGTCCAGCCCTCCTTGCAGTAGTCTTCCCCTCAGCGGCTGCGTCCAGGTCCTTGTCCGATGTGTCCGGCACCGGCCCGGAAAGCTCCTGACCCTTCAGAAAAGGTTGGCAATGCCTTCCTCCAGGTTTCAATGGCAACCGAAAGCCAGTGATGGCTTGCGTGTAGATCTACCATGGGCTCGGAAGTGCGCGGAAGGTGTGCGGAAGGGCGGTGGAAGCGCAGTTTTCAGGAGAAGTAATTTTGCAATTTTGCACAAGCCCCAGATGTTGCTTCGGCACCCCAATCATTTTGAATGTTGATGCCAGTGGCATGAGTGTCATAAGCCATGAGACTGTGGGTCCAACACGTGGTGTCCGTAACTGGCAAAAGACCCTTGGCAGTCTGCAATGAGGCTTGGACAGTCTTATGGAAAGGCCATATTTGGACCATATTTCAACAGACCCCCCGCCCCCACCCTCGCAGCGTGACCCCTTATATTGTTTTATAAATGTGGTTTGCTTCTATGGGGCTTTAGCAGGGTTCGTGATGGCACATTGAAGGGTCATTGCCTTGCAAAGAGGATGAGTGGCGTTTCGGTCAGGCTAACAACGACCCCTCAAACAGGAGCAAAGCAGGGAATAACAGAATAACCTCACAAGGCATTGCCTATCGTTATGCCCAGTTCCTGAGAGAGAGAAGACATCCCATTGGCCCCTGTTCAGGCGCTTACGAGCCGCTTCTTGACGTTGCCCCATGTGTGGATCCACGTATTAAGGTGTGGCATTCAAACTGCTCGGACAAGGCTTGCCCATTCCGGGAAGCAAATACAATAAAAGTTGCGGAACTGTCATCATTTGACCAGGCTTGCTGGATCAAGTATAGAGCCCCTCAACTTGTGGATTCATCAGGACTCAGGACCATATCAATTGACAAATTCAGAGGAATCCCCCCCCCCCCCCCCCGGGCCGCCCGCCGCCCGGAATGGTGAAAGTCCCCACTAAACAGGGGACCGCCATTCAGTACCGAAATTCTGAAATTCACCCCCCACTAAACAGGAAAGGAACCGGGTGCCCTTTTCTCATCATCATCATCATCATCATCATCATCATCATCATCATCATCATCATCATCATCATCATCATTGGACCGTGGTGTAAGAGTACACCACTTCAACCGATTTGCTGAGGCCTGATGCCGTCTACTGCCGGCACTGCGGGGTCAAGAGAGCGGCGTGAAGCTTAGCGGGTCTTCTGTGGCGACACCTGCAAGCCAAAACGAGCTGATCAGCCGATCTGGGTGCGTCTCTTGGTTTCACCCACCCAACATGGGAGCCCTCGAAAAAGGAGATACCCACGTCATTGTAGATCCTTTACCCGGTGTTAACTTACTTCAAACTTTGTGAATTGTAGAAATTGTAGATGCCTTTGGTTTTGCCTGTATAGTCAGGACGAGTTCAACCTTTTGAATGTTTCTACTATTTGAACATCGATGAGTGTTGGGCGCTGCTTGAGGTCTTTCAGAAAGTCCCCTCGAAGGGGTTTCTTGGTGAGGTGGCTGGACGACCATTCATTGCGTCTTTTGATATCTGTAGGGCGAGGGGTTGAATTTCAAAGTGCGGCAATACTCGGGAGAGACATCAGGATTCATATCCCCACCCAAGGTACTCAAAAGATCCCTTCTAGGAATCCCTAAGGTGCCTGCGCCCATGACCCAACGAGTTGTTTTAATCATCACGGTTTGACTCCTGCTTTTTTTGATCGAGGTTTCCATTTGCTGGGGTGATGTAAGGGAACATAGACAAAAGCATGTTGGTTGATCAACCCTTTCTCACTCCCTGAGTTCATGGTCTTTGTTCACTTTTTGGGAAGACCAATTTAGCGGCAAACGAGGATACGGCCAGGTTGAGAGGTTTCCAGACTCCCAGAGCCAACTAGACAGACTACGTTGATATCCCCCTTGAAGGAAAGCACCAGGGGGATGATGTTATTTGTGTCTTCTTTTTGGCCAATCCACTCGGTAGGAAGTGAGCTTTTCTGGACCCCTCTTCTTGACCCGCATTTTGGCCGATGTCTAACCTGGAGTCTCCACGACCCTCCAAATGTTTGGGGTCACCCCCCAAAAGAAAGGGGAGTCATGACTGAGTCATGGCCCCTGATTTTTTGAGGGCGCCGTCAAGCAATTGCACAAGAAGGGGGTCATGTCTCTGACCCCATTTGGGTATGGGTCACAATTACGCCACCAGGGCACCGCAGGTTCCCAGGTCCTTCCATTTGCCAACCCATTTTGGAGATCCAGAATTATGACCCACGGCCAAATGACCCTGAAGTAAACCATCCCTTGCTGAGGTGTCCTTTAAGAGTTGGCCAATATTCCATGAGGCCCTTTTTTGACCATGGGTAATGCTGTGAGGGTCGGAAGGAGGCTCCCGGTATAGGGACCCGGTGTATCTCAGGAGTGCGAGGCCTCGGATCCGGCGAGCTCGCCGGGAAACCTTGCGGCGCCGCAGGTGCCGATGGGGAGTGTTTGTTTTTTTCCCGGTGGTTTGGGGGACACTTATTGTTGTTGTTTGTTTTGTTGTTCCTTTTTTGTACTTCCATTTTCAGTGAAATGAGCTTGTTTTTTGTTTCCCCCGTTTGGTTTTACAGGGAACCCATCACTAACCGACATGTTTTCATTTTTCCAGGGGGCTTAAGCAAATGGAAGTTGAGGGTACCCCCTTCGGGCTTGGTTTAAAGGGACATGAAAAGCAAAACCATCATTTTGGGGATTCCCCCAAAAAGACACACCCATTGGTTTTGCCATCGTTGCCTCAACAACGGGTTGATCAGCTGAAATCTTGGAAGCCAAATAGATCGGATGTTCTAAAACCATGCGGCCCCCAAGCACCTTGAAGGGGGTTTCTTCCCCAGATCAACGGCAACCGGGTCCAGGTACTCTCAGGAGGGGTTGCTTCCGACCGAAACCGGGATACCGGGCGCCCCGCGCCGCATTTGGGTGGTTGTAGGACCTACAAACCGACTTAGATGGAAATCCATTAGTAAGAGGACCAAGGTGGGTGGCGTGAGTCCCTTTTTTCACCTACATTCAGGCCTCGATGCCCCTAGTTTCTTGAACGAAGTGAAGCCCAGTCACCGGCACCGGCTACCTACAAGTTGGCCAAAGGGATGATTTGATGGCGAAGTGGAGGGTTGGCCCATGTGGAACATGAGTTGCTTCGTGCGTCGCATTTTTTTGGGGGCTACAACTCAACCACCAAATCGGGTATCTTCGAGTCTTCGATGTTATATCGGGTAGGCTGAATACTGACCAGAGTCTGCACATGTTTTTGTTTTTTTTACAACAGCCCCAGATGGCCGTGGGTCAAACATGCGTACCCAAAATCGATCCCTGGTAAATGGAAGCATGGACCTTGGAACCTGCGGTTTCCATTCCTGGTGATTTCATTTTGACCCACACCCACGTGCCTTGCCGAAGGCTGGCTTTGGCCTTGCGCCCGCTGCCTTGGCGCCTGCGCCTCCGGCGCCGGCCTTTTCCTGCAGGCTTCGCTTGCTGCGAAAAATCGGTAGGGGAGGAGCGTTTTATGGAAAGGGTATGGGTCAAAATCAAGCCACCAGGAGTTGGACCGCAGGTGTTAGTTCATGTTTCCATTTACCAAGGTTCCATTTTGGGTACCTATTCCACAGCGAAATGACCCTGAAGTAAACCATCCCTTGCTGAGGTTTCCTTTAAGGGGACCAAAGCCCCTGTTCATTCCCAGATTCCCTACTGAGCACCACCATGCTTGTTTTGCCAAAAACGAGAAGCTTGTTCTCCTTCGGAAACCCTTTTGAACCTTCCCTAACAAGGGTGCCGACCCAAAACACTGCAATGGCCGTGTCTCAAAGCTAGGCTGACCAAAGCTAGGCTGACCAAATGCGTTTTGTGTTCCGCCGATTCCCCTGCACAAGGCCGACGAGGGGGGCGCTGCCTGAAAAACCCGTCCGCTCGGGTGTCAGGCCCCTGGGCCACGGCCCAGGCCCCAGCGTTGGGAATGAACCAGACTGAGGGAATTGGGGGATGTTGAATCAATTCGGTCTGGTTTTCATTCCTTTTTGAGCTTTTTGTCGGGGGGCGATTGTTTTTATTCTTGTTTCTTTTTTTTGGGGGGGGGGGATGTTGCATCAAGTGTGCGGAATGCATGTTGAATCAATTGGTTCCGGCTTCGAGGGAAGAACTGGCTGGTGGGAAGGAACCACTGAGACGATGCAATCGTACTTTGAGCATCGACGTGGTGTCCAAGAAATGGAGACCTGAAATGGTCCCAAAGGAGATTCCCAAGTTTGGGGCACGTCACCGCGTCGCCTCCAGATTGACATGGATTCCCACCAGAGACAAAAGGATCTCTTGTTGGAAGAGTCTTCATGCAATTTGTTTCACAAGCGAAACCATCGGAGTGTTGCTGTGCGAAAACCGTGTTGTTTCCCTGACTCGAAATCGAACGAAAACTCCGACCAAGGTTCCTTGCTTTGCATGAAGAATTTCGATTGGGTATGGGTCAAACTCAAATCATCCTTAGGCTGCCAAAACCTGGGGAAAAAAGGATCAGAACCTCTTTTCAGCCTTTTTCCAAAAATTGTGGTTCTGGCAGGAAACAACTGGTTTATCGATTTTTGACCGGTAACACACCCGTAAAGACACCGTACTTTTCCATACAAACACCGTAAAAACTGGTACGCAAACCGACAATCTTGGGGACTCCTGCTCTTTTCTGGTGTTGAGAAGCTTATGGATGAGGGGACCACAGGTTTTAGTCCATCGTTTCACTTACTAGGGTTCTATGTTCTTCCCCAGAATTAGCTCCCCTTTTCTTTGTTTTTTGGGGTCCCTTTGTTTTCCACTAACCAGGCAAAACAGATATTTTGTTGCAGGGGTCCTAATTCCTGCCTAGTGTTGGGTACCTATTTTGGACCCACAGCCATTTCGGTTGGTTTCTTTCAGCCGGCGAAAGCTCTCCGTTGAGGCGTGAGCGACCGGGATCGGGACCGTGATTGGCGCTTTCCTCAGAGAGATCCCGTGCCGGGGCGGGGGCGGGAGCCGTGACCTGCTGGAAAAACGGGGGTTGATCATGGGATGATGCCGGAAAACCACGAAAGAGGTGGTGTGTCCCACTAAATGTGGGGCCCAGCAATATTGAACCCCCATGTTTGAAATGTTTGACCATTTTGACAAACGCGAATAAACATGGCTTCAGATGTTGAAACTGTTCCGCATCCTTGTGGTAAATGGGGTCTCAGGTTTGTGTAAACCAAGCAATTGACTCTTGTCTAGCCAGCCGATCAGGACGCCATGCTACGTAAAGGCAGGTTGGGATTTTCATAGTGTAATCCAAGTAATCAACTGACAGTTCCGGCAGTCCCCCTTTTCAGGTAGCTTTTCCAGTGGCCTTTCGCTGTTTCTCGGGGCTGCAAACTGTCCCCCCTCAGGTGTCCCTCAATCCAACAATTTTGGCACAAGAAAAGGGTCCATTGTTTTGACGTTCTTACTATCTATGGAGGTTCAACGCCATGCCTGGCCAAGTTGCTGCCGTTTTCCAGACACATTCCAATTGATGGATAAAATCAGGGGCTGGATCGCTCCAGAGGTTGTGTAGCAGTGACCTGCCACTTTGGGCGCGTTGAGAATGGTCCAATCCACGGGACCAATGCCGCCGTTCATGTTCTCCCTCGCTTGCCCTGCATTTCGGATACATGGTTCGGCCAATATAACCCCATGACATGTGTCCGTTTGCCTTTGAAACCAGCGGTAGGGTGCCAATCCCAAGCAACACGCAAGCAGGCTGGACGGTAGATCACCCAAGGCCCGGGAGCCGAGGAACCTGTCGCCATGTGGGGTCGGCCCTAGGTTTGAGACACCCGGGATATACAATCCCCTGTTGTTGGGATCAAAACTGCGACTGGTTCAATGTTTGAGGACATCTTGTATCGTCCTGTACATACCAAACTGGCGGTAGAACAGAGAAGATTTGGAGTTGAAGGTTGGCCAAGTACAAGGGTGCTCCTTTGTTTTGAGCCATCCTTGGAAAAGATCGCGACCTTTTTGCAAGATTTGGGCAGGTGATTCACTCGCCTCTGGATTGGGATAGACTCCCATGGCTCGAAGGGTCGGGTCCCCAGAAAGGGGGTTTGACCATGCAAATTCACTTTTAGGAGGAATATCCCCACCAAAAGGTCCACAGGTCGCCAAATCAAGATTCATCAAGTCAGCTTTTGGAACAGCACTGTTGATGGATCCATGAAATGTTGCGCAACCGTTTCTTGGGGAATCATTCTTCCAGGATTCCTTCGGTGCCGCGAAATGGGTTTCGTGCATCCACCCTATTTCTTGACCCACTCACGTGCCTCGAGCCCTTGGCTACGTGGATCCGCAGGCCAACCCGCGGGCGGCTTCCTTCCAGCGGCTGAACGGCTTCCTCCTCAGGACGGTACGCGAAGTTTTCGCGGGGTTTTCTGGAAGGGATGGGTTCTGAACATGGGGTGCCGTGTTGTGAAGGACCCCAAACCCGGGGCCCGGGGGTGAGGTTTAAGGGGACAAATCAAGAGGAAGCCACACAGAGTCTGGGGTGCTCAAAATCCATTTTGAGACCAAACTGGAGGCTTCGCCCCCAAAATGGCGACGTTTCCTTAATGCCACAAAGGGGTTGACCATTTGGAGACACACGTACATTTGTGGTTTTAAAGGCCAGAAGGAAAACACCTGCACATTTTGTTTTTGAGCAGAACCCTGGTTATGGACATGGAATTGGCGCTAGATGGATCAATGACCCCAGGTTGTCATTTGGGTGTAGCTCCTTGGTGAACAGTTTGTTTAAGCCTAAGCGAACCCGAACGGAAACCAACACTTGTTCGGAACCCTATTAATTTTGAGACACACCCATTTGGCGTGAGCAGTCATCGGTCTTCGTCTCAAAAGCCGATGTTTTTTTAGACGAATATCAAAGAGAGGCCAAACGAAGCCGTTGGAAGGGGTGCTTTGGTTTGACCCACACCCATCTTCCCGGGCTGTCTCCCGCCAGTTTGGAAGAGTTTTTTTGACCACCGGGTTTGGGGAATTTGGCATCATGGCCAAAGAGACGAGGGAAGGAGTCCCGAAGTGGACCATTTGCGGAGCCGGCAGCTGCAAGGGAAGCGGGTTTGTTTGGACATTGTCAGCTCCCAAGGCTTTGGTGGAATTGATGATTCTTGGAACGCCTTTGCTGGGAGTTTGTGCTTCTTTAGCACCAAAGAGGATGGGGCATCCCGTATCTCTGTGATTTTGCCAGTGCAAGACAAGTGAGGCTTTGATTAATTTGTGTGGGCAGTCGTTTCTTTGAGAAACAGTTACCCCAGTTTGGAAGTTCATTTTAGTGGGGTTTGTGACTGAATTTAATGCTGGTACGGACTGTTACTGGCCAGGATATCACTTGAAACACATGTTTGGGCCAAACGAGGGACAACTGGCTTGGACATACACGCTCCCACAAGCACGAATCTGATAGAAAGTCATTCTGCATGTCGTTGGTCTACTCAGTGATTTCCAGTGGTTTCACGCCCGTGGGACGCATGTAGGTATCAAAACCATGAAGCCCTTTGGGACCCTCGTAAGAGGAAGCAATCAACGATTAGGAGGATGCCTCCGATTTTGACACGTACCCACATGTGGTTCAGCCAGAATATGTTGTAGTCTCTGGTCAATTTGGGAGGGATAGCTCGTCCATTTCACTGGCGCCCCATATGGTTGTGTGTGTGTGTTTGTTTGTTTTCCCTTTTTCTGGTTGGTTTAGGGAAAAGCAAGGAAAGTCGCAGTTTTGGTTTGCCCCTATGTTGACAGGCAGGACCAATATGTGTCAAGCCAAGGTCCTCCACAATGCATAGTTTCCTTTCATGTTCCAATCGAACACGGGATAGCCTCGTCAAAAACGCACCCATGTTGGGGGAAGCGGGCGCATCGAGCTGCAAGTCGTATGTTCCCCATTATCGGAAGGACCCACATGACCAGCTTGCTGTCAGCGCTAGCTGAAGATGGCTGGCTAGAGGCGACGGACGAAGTGATCGATCGCATGCGGAAAGTTTGGTAGGCCACTTTCAATGATACCAAGGCCATGCGTTTGAAAGAAATGCAGCTCGGGGGAATCACATTCGTTAGTGTCCACAACCATGTGGTCCAGTGTTTCGTTTATCGCTAGTCCTTCCACGGCTATCCCTTGGGATCGCTTGCTTTGGTCTTAGCTTGGTCTCAAGCATGTAATTACCTGTGGCGGCCAGTGGCGACCAGTGGCGACCATTTTTTTCGAAAGCACAGGGCCACGTGTTTCAGTTGGCGATTTACAGTGATAACATCACCTTCCGCAAGCTGTTGCTGGCGTGGAAGCTGATGGGACCTTAACATGCCCGTGGGCAAGTGTTTCCCTTATACGCAGCTTTCCGAGAAGCGGTCCCTGACATTTGCAAACACTGGGTCTAAGCAAAGTGGGACCCTTGTTGGGTTTGTTAGTGGGCAAGAGGAACGCCACCATTTGAAAGGTGTTTTTGGATTCGACAAGCATGAGTTTGTTTCCGCAGAATTTGCATATCTCTGCATTCCATGAACTCAAACGCATCCAACAAGTGGGCATCGCAAATTCTGACCCAAAGCGGGGTTGTCACAGAGCGAACTGGAACTGTTTCCAAAACACGTTTAGGTACCCGCGCCCTAATATAGGAATCCCTGCTTGTTGAGAAGGTTTTGTTGTGAGTCATCACAAACGAAAGACGGGAAAACGCTGACGCATATCCTTGTAGGTGCAATTGCAGAGTGTCCGATTGTTTTTTTTCCGCAACTGTTTTGGTTACAATATGGTGTGGTGAGACAGCTGCTCCCGGGTCCACCATTTTCTGTCACCAAGGGAGCCCCCTTTCAAGTCATGCAGTGCAGAAGGCCCATATTGATTTCATAAACAAAGAACAAAGTACACTCGTGCACAGACCGCTAAAAAGAGGCCGGGTTTTCGTCCGGGTTCCCCTCCGCAAAACCAGACTTGTCTCCTTTTCGTTTTAAGCGTCCAAAAGCTAGAGACAGGGATAAACTTGGACAGAGCTCTCACAGGAACCTGTCAAGTTGCATAGAAGCCAAAAGAAACTGCAGAACCCAAAAACCCGAGGGAATGTAGGGGACTCACTTATTTGTCCATGCGTCTTCACTTTCACCCAATAAATCAGGAACACGCAGTTCCCCCCACAAACTTTTGGCAAGAATTCGTCCCCAAAAGATATGAATAGTTAGGGTGACCGCATATTTTGGAACCTGCTGTGGATGGATAAATCCTGCACCAGCATGGATAAATCCCACCAACTGGTGCAGACATGGTTAGTAGACATTGGCAACCCATGAACATTCTCCCCCAAAAGATCTGAGTTCGGTTTCAGAACCTGTTCTCTGCGGAATCCGGACTCTTAGAGGACGTCAATTGTCCATTCGGGGGTGCCGTCTCTGAGGCTCTGAGGCTCGGGTCTCGGTGGAGTTTCCGAGGCCTGGGAGAAGGAGCGTTTGTGCTGCCACGCGCGGGAGCCGGACTCGAAGTGGGCCCAGACCTTCCTGCGGGTCTGGCGCTCAGCGCATGGGAAAAGCCGTCGAAGGCTAGCCGCCATTTCTGTGCCCCGCACTTGTGCAGAGCCTTGTAGCTTGAAGTTCGGTCAACATCTGATGGTTCATTTGTAGCTTGAGTTTTGGCCAACGTCTGACGGTTCATTTGTAGCTTGAAGTTTGGTCAACATTTGATGGTTCATTTGTAGCTTGAGTTTTGGCCAACGTCTGACGGTTCATTTGTAGCTTGAAGTTTGGTCAACATTTGATGGTTCATTTGTAGCTTGAATGTTGGTTAACATCTGATGGTTCATTTGGGGGCATGCGGGATCTCACAAAATGCGTCATGCCCTCTTGGAAGTTTCAACGTTCCAATTCCGAGTGTGCGAGCTCATGGATTTGGCAATCCCGCACAAGTTGCCAGCCGGCGCTTGGTTTTGGTCATTCGTGTCCGCCAGCTTCCCTTGAAATCGAACGGAGGGCCCCTATTTTCAAAAAAACCCATCTATAGAATGTTGTTCCGGCATCCATGTTATTTTTGCTTTTTAGTGAAGGGCGTTGCCTTTTCAAAGGGCCGGCAGGCATGAAGCCGCCGAGCCGATCTCAGCTTGAGGTCCGCGTAGCCGAGGGCAGCGTGTCCTGGTTCCCGGAAAAAAAAATACAAACCCGGCGATATGCTTCGTTTTGACCTCCCCATGTACAGTATGCAATGCTTAGTGGCTTAGTGGCATTTGGGCATGGGCACACCTGGTGTGTTGTGTTTTGGTGAGGACTGTCACGATCAAGACGGACATGCGCAACTGACAAAACACAAAGACCCACAAATAAATCCAGCAATGGAACTGTTCCATGCCCTATGTGGGCAACATCTCAGTTGTTCAGTGGCACCCTTTTTCCCCGTTTTTTTGGTGGCTGCCCCACCAAAAATGGTCTTCCCCAAAAAGCGTCCCTTTTTTCCAGGGTCACTGAACAACTGAGACATGGGATGCTGCTCTTGCCGCGCATGAGATCTACATGCGCTTCATGGAGACGGATGATGTAGCCAGCTTCGTGGCAGCTTTGAAGGCGCAGATTGCCTGAACTCGGCCAATGCAACCATCGTCTCACCTCCCCTTCATGGCGCCCGGGCCCGGGCGCATTCGGGCGCCATGAACCGAGCCGGGATTTGCACCCGGAGTTGTTTTCAAGTGCTCCCCTTTTGAATCTCACGGCGTGGGTGTGAATTTCATTAGGGACTGTTGGGAGGACATCATTCCAAGGCCGCCCGAGTTTTGGATTGGAGTTCCAGAGAGGTTGAGCTGTCGAGTTGATGCCAGGTCAGGGCCACCAGTTGGTTTGCAGAAGCCAAAACTTGGTATCCCTTGGACAATAGTTTCACAGTGGACAACAAAGGAACACCAACCGTTGGAAAGAGTGCCCAGTTTTGCCCATTTTTAGGAAACACATAGCCAAGGGAAAGGGCCCGCAATTATTCTGTTGAGTGCCGAAACTTAGCGCAGCGTTGGGGTCCGCCTTGTCAATGCAAACACAAATTGCCAAAAGGCGAAACGGGCATGTTTGAAAACAAAGACTCTCCCCATTGGCCTAGCTTTTACCTCAAACAACTGTGAACACACACAAATGAGTGTTTGGACATATTTCCGGTAGTCTATCGCCCGTTTGAAGGGGAGGGACATGGGGCACGAGCTCTGATTCCCCACAACTGCTAGACTCACCAAAATACATGTCCCATGTCGCGCAGTGGAACCAAGCAATTTCGGCTGTAGTGCAAATCACTGCTCGGCAATTCTGAGAGCCTTGCTTGGCAGCCTCACCATCCTACCACGCGGATTGAAGAGCTTCGAAGAGTTAACTGCAATCCATCAAGGATCCGTGGTAAAAGCAGAGCTCTTCTGACAGTACATCATGCTACATGTCAAGGTTTGCTAAATATAGACCATAATCTCGAGATGGGGTAATTGCCGAGGTAGAACACAGTTGATGTACATTATATTTATGTAGTATAGACACCGCCCAATGCAGAGGTTCCAACTCCTGCCAATAGTTGCATTGCATGATGTGTGTGTGTGTGCGGGTATTATATATATATATATATATGTATATATAGACACACATACGTGAGCCCGACCCAGTGCCCTCTGCCCCGCAGCAGTCGCACGCAGGCAGGTAGTATGCTCCGTAGGTATAAAGTGACATGGTATGGCATTGTGTTTGTGCAAGAAATCGACAACATATTGCTACACTACTCTGTTCAGTGTCGTTGACACTTTCCCGTGGTGTGCTCCAAGGAAAGCCACCCGCTGGATGCGAAAGACTCATAATTCTGTTCAAAGCGGAATGAAGCCTTATAACACCCTGGGTCCTCCGTCTCCGGGTTATTTCTGTGTTTGGGCCAGAAATTATACAACTCTGTACACTATCCCATCAATTATGCAACTCTGTGCCCTCGAGTGTGTATTCAACTGCTTTCACTGAAAATGCACTCTCCGGATACTCCGTCTTTTTTGTGATTTGTGATCTGAATAATTAGTTCTGATTCATGTGAATGTGAACGATTCAGATTCTGGATATTTCTGAATTGGAGGGCTCCTTCCGTCAAGTAGAGATTAATTACGGTTTTTAGGGTTTCATGTGTGCAAACCAATTACCGGAAGTGACAATCAATTTCTAGGAATGTTCCTCAAAAACTCGGAGATTGAACACTCCGTGTTTGTTCATCAAGACCCCTAAAAAGTTGTAGTTTCTGGATTTGTTTTTACGTTACATCTCCATGATTTGGAAATCTTTGGAAGATCCACGACAATCAAAACCACAGGACAGTTACAAACATGTTCGAAACTTGGGACGATTCACCGTTTGTACCGTATTTTGTTTTCCAGCTTCCGCCACAGAAAAGCAGTAATTCACCACGGGGAATGGTCAACACCACCGACATCACGGATGGTCAAAACAAAAGACTCAAACATGTCAGCATCACAACAGTTTGAATCGAGAAATTGTGTTGGCAAGATTTCCTTGCAACACACATTTCTGAATTGCAATTTTCGAGCTCGACTCGTCTTGCTTTGCTTTTGGCTTTTGATAGCCTTTGTAGACTTGGCCGACACCTCCAGCATCAAGACGTCATGCTGGCCAGTAAACTAAACCAGTCGCCGCCACAAGTATCACCGCTGCTTTTGCGAAGAAACTGCTCTTGCATAGACTAAACGTACAAGTACAGCAAAAGTGACGCTGAGCAGAAGGAAGTCCTCAAATGGTTGTAGATACATACAAAGAAGTATAGGTTAGCATGTCTCTTCACCATCCCAGTGGCAATGGAGGCTGGCTAGGGCGGCCCAGGCAAGGCTCCTTGCCAACTTGCTTGAAAACGTACCAGTCTCTTGGGCCGGTCGCGGGACCTAGCTCAAGGGCCGTTTCTCTCTTGTGAGCGCACGGGTGCTTTCAAAGGTTGAGATGTCGTGACTTGGCTGGTTTTTTGATGCGAACAAGTCCCTTGAAACCTGTTGGACAGCGGATTTTCGAATTAAAGTTGAATGAACCTGCAAAGGTGACATGTTGCCCAGAAAGTCCTTCTTAAATCGGATAGGTCTGCCCATGCAGACCACTCAAGCTCAGCCAAGTGTGACGGCTCGTACCTTGCACGCGGTGCGAAGGCGCCTCACAGCCAGCTGCCTGCAAGCCGAGTGGCTCGGAATTTCAAGGGATCCGTTGAGTCCAACCATGGAGGGTAGCCCACATGAAGCATAGCCAGTCAAATTGTAACACACATTTTTCTCATGGAGTTCTGTTAGCGGCTGTTCCCAGGCAAGCTGTCGCCCTCCCCTTCCCCTGTCCCCCCCCCTCCCGGAACCTCTCCCCATCGCCGTGCCTGAGTGCCTGTAGCTGTACCATACCAATCCAAAAGGAGTGACCTGGGGATGCGGAAGCTGACAGAAGGTTGCAGGCCCAATTTTCTGGAAATTTCCCTCAGGTTCCATGTGAGCCACAGTGAAAACCTGTGTAGATGGGGCTTAGCAGGGGACATTCCCAACCATAAATAGGTGTGGCCGCCTGTGTAGTTCTTTGCATGGTTCTGAGCAGACTATGTTAATAGTGACGGATCTGGCAAAGCAGAGGGGGGTTCAGCATGTTCCATAGTTACACTGTACCCAATGGACACCACGTCACTGGGGTTGACCGATAGCTTCACTCGCTTGCTGAACTCAAGAGAAGGTTTGCTTCGTTTGAATGTTTTTAGCTTCCAGCACGCTCCAGGGTGGCTTTTCCAAATTGGTACCTGCAGCGCTCTTGTGTGTGTCAGCCATTTTGGGCACAAATGAAGAAGTCACCCTTGGAGGGTGCTGTTTGCTGTTTTCTTTGTTTATTTTTGTTGATGTTGATCGCCAGTTTGTCGATTGTTCGCGGCCTTTGGCCGCCAAAGGCCTCTGCGAACGCTGCCATACCAAAGCTTGGCATCTCAAAGCGTGCGCCCTGCCGAGCCCAGTGGCTCGAAAATCCTTCACGTTCTATCCTGCCATTTTGTCGCTTGGCCGCACGATTTGGCAACCAGCGAATGGCCATGAGGGGGAAAATTGATGGACCCCCTGGATCTTTCTGAGAGGCAGGGCCACAAAGAAGGGCGTTTTTGACATGAGAGGAGTCAAAGTGACTTGGCCATTGCAAGTGCACACCCGGTGCTGTCCCGTCCTTCCCTGCAATGTTTGCAGTTGGGGTGGCAAGAATGCTGAAGACCCCCTGAATGACTTGGGGTGAACGGAAAGGGGCCGAAGCTCACGTTTGGCGTTCTATCAATGACGCGCTTTCTATACCCCAGGATTTTCTGGATGATCCCCACATTTTGCGGCCAGCACCCAGTCTGGTGATTGCTAAGGAAGGGGGGCTGCTGGCTTGCTTGTCGTTTCCCTCTACGAATAACTGCTTTCGGCTTCCCCCAAAAGGACCTCGAGCCCTGGTGATTGCTTTACTCTCAACGCCCAACTCCAACCTACCCGTCCACGTTCAGAGAATTTGTTTGAGACAAGACCCGGTCCTTTGCGAGTTTCTTCTCCCCAAAGAAACATGGAAGACAAGAAGCAGTTATTTCTACAGGAAAATCTCTTTGGGGACTCCAACGTTGGATCGTTTTTCTTAGCAGTCCGGGCCTCCAGGAGATTGCCGCGGTTGGCATGGGCAAAACACGGCTCCTATTTGGGGGTAACGTCAACCCAGAACTACACCCCCATTTATTCATTTTGGGGGGCGTCCTTGGTTATGAGTTTGACCCGCCCCCCGGTATTACTTTACTCTGCGGTCAACTTTGCTATGATGGACAAAATCCGTTCCAGGCGGGAAGCGGTTTCATCACGACATCAGGGGCTGTTTTTTGTGTGTTTTTTAACCTGCTGGGGATTTGTTTGGACCTGGATAAGGGTCTGCATGTCAACAGGTCAGAAAAAGACCCTCTTCGAGTTGCACCGGTCGTTTTCTGGCCCTGGCAGGAATCCAACTCGCAAGCTGCAGCAAATTGTTGCTTTGTCCCGCGTCATTGGCGGCGCTGCAAGGAAAGCGCTTGCATGACCAGTCCCCAACAAGGTCAAAAGACGACCCTCTCAGAGGGGCGTCAGTTTTTTGAACCTGTAGCGGGCCTTTGCTTTGTCCCCGCGCACTCACATGGCAAGCCCCCGACCAGGTCAAAGAAAGACCTTTTTCAAGAGGGCGTCAGGTTTTTCCTGACCTGTAGGGTTTTTTGCTTTACCCCAGAAGACCCTGTCAGGAGCCACCCGCAGGGTCTTTGCTCTGTTCCTGCTCGTCAAAAACCCCTGTTCAAGAGGGTGACAGGTTTTTCTCACACGATCCCGAGCTTGAGTGGCGAGTTTTGGAGCCGCGCTGAAGCGCTATCCCCAGCACCAGATATCTATCGACCGAGTGCGAAGAGAAGGTTCCTAGGAGACAGAAGGCTTGTTTTGGATGGTATTTTGGACTTGAGCGTAAGAGTGACGCTGGACAAGTCGCTCCCGCCTCTCAGCCCATGGCTCCCCCGAGACTTTGTCATTGGCGTGGACAAGGTCAAAACAAAAAGACCATCTTCGAGAGGGCGTCAGCTTTCCTGACCTATAAGCAAAGGGTCAGTGGTTCTATTGCTTTGCCCCCACGCACTCACATGACATGCCCCCCCCGAACGGGTCACAAAAAAACCCTCCCCAAGGCTGTCAGGTTTTCGTGACCTGTAGAAACCCTGCTCGCTCACATGACAAGACCCGCTTCAAGAGGGCGTCAGGTTTTTCCTGTAGGGCGGGTTTTTTGACCCGTCAGAGAGGAGTGTGGCCTGCAGGCGTCTTGTCTCGCTCACATGACAAATCATGATAAGCCTCCAACAAGGTCAATAAAACACTCTTCAAGCGGGCGTCAGGTTTTTCCTGACCAGGGCGTTTTGCTTAGCCCCGCATCGTTCGAGAAAGACGCCCGCGCGACCTCTGAGCAAGGTTAAGAAAGACCCTGTCAGATGGAGATGGACAAGCCCGAAGCAGGGTGTCGTCCCGGACCAGGTCAAAACAAGGGTTCGAATAGATTTTGCTAGTGAAGGCAGATTTTGGCTCGACTTGAGAACTGATTAGTTTGGCGAGAATATTGTTGCGCTGTGTATTTCTAGATGCGTAGATATGTCAAGATGCGCTCACACGATTTTAGCCGCCTTGTTTAGACGTCTTGACTTGTCTTTGGTCAGTCTGTGGCGCTCTCATGGGCGGGCGGGGCTTGGACGAAGTCCCGCAGTGTGCGTGTTTGGCGGTGTTCCCCCAGGCTGTGTGTTTGTCGCTTGGCCGCGGTCGTGCTGCGGCGTCGTGCTTCGCACGTTTTCAACAATGGGTTTGCATCTTATTGACTGCTTCTCCGAACATGTTTCAGTCGTGTATATTTTTGTCTGTCTGTATAAGAATAAACATATTCATAGAAATTGTAAACGCTGCGCGTTGCCCGCTTCGGCCCAGCTGCGCGCAGCGTCTGCGCTCGCTGGTTTGAGGCTTGTCTCAAGTGGTTGAGCTGCAGGTTGCTGGTTGGGCTTCTTCTGCGATGCCCAGCGCATCTGCGAAAAAAATGGCCGATGGAGCTGGACGCCAACGAATCCCGAAAATTTCAAGTCCCGCCGGACAGGATCTTGGGCCGGCAGACATGGGTGAGGGGGGGAAGGGGGGATTGAGACAAGCATTGTAAGGGTTTCTATTCAGGGGACCATAACCACCACAGCCATGATGTTGACCAGTGTTGCTTGCCTCTTGTTGTGAGTCCTTGGATGTGAGGTTCCGTAGTCGCAGTTGCATGGGAATCAATCAGTTTGGCATCGCAGAGTCCGGGTCGTTTCCTACAACTTCGGACCCACCCCTTGCCTATGTTTGAGGCCGCAAACAGGGGCCATTCCAACTAGATGCTCTTTGAATGGAGGTTTGAAACATCAGCATTTGGTGGCAAATTCAAATATACCATGTGTGCATGTGTGCGCGCGTTTGGTTTTTGAGGGTCCCTTTTCAGGTTGATTTGAAGGGAAACCAAGCGAAAACCACTCCTGTTTGGGCCCCCTTCTTATCTTGACACACACCCATGTTTGTTTGTGCCGACACCGACTTCCCATTCGTTCTCTGGAACTTATCCCAGAAGGCGGTCCCTAGAGCTGACATGGATCTGAGAACATAGCATTCCGATGGCTACTGATGCGTGTATTGTATTTTAAACTGTTTGCTTTGCGGTGTCCGTTTTATTTGCACCGTGGTTTGAGGGGGAGGGAAGAGCTCCCCATCTTGACACACGCCCAGATGTTTGAAAGCAGGTTTCATTTTTTATGCAGAGCTCTAGCTATCTCACAAAGGGAGTTTGCGACCTTCATGGGAGATTCTCCTGGTTTCTTGGCAAAACAGGGGACCCTAAAAAATGGTGGGTTTCCTTGTGGCTTCCGTTGATTTACCATCCAAAAATCCCGACGGGTGTGTAAGTCCGACTGGCTTACCCCTGCCCGTTTAGTGTGACGTGCTTGGTGTTTGTCTTCATCATTCAAAGTCACGTCACAAGAAGTCCACGCGTTGTGGGGTTTTTCTTGGATGCCACACTGGTCCGAAAGCAAGTATGCCGTTCTCACAAAGGGGGTGTGACTGAAAACCCGTTGTTCAGCTACAATTGAACAACTCACTGGGCGTTTTCTAGGTAAAAAGGGCCCTAGAAATGTTGGCTTTCTGGTCGGCTGCCGTTGAAGCATCAACCAAAAGAGGTAGGACGCCCGTCCCCTTGGTGAAACGTGGCAATCCACCCCGAAACACCAGAAATGTGTGCATGTGTGTCTGTTTTTTTGAGGGCGCAATTTTCAGGCAGAATTGAAAGGACGCCAACAGCTTAATGACACCAACAGCTTAATTCTGTTGGTTCTATTTTGACACATACCCATAGTGAAAACGACACATGGCCACTAGGACCATGGCGAGGACTCGACGCGATATCGTAGCCCATGCCTCAGCATAGGGAAACGAGGGTCCCTACACACAACGAAACGTTTGGTTCCATTTGATATCCGGAAGCTTCTTTTTGGTCAGGGGCTTCTTGCATTGGAGCCAAGGGCGAGGCTATTGTTTGAGCGGTGAAAGCCTTGGGTACCAATTAATAGTTGCTGTGGCATCGCAGATCCAGTGCAAGGTGAACAGATTGTCTGAATCAAGGCATTCACTCGATGGAACAATTGATTTTCTATGGCACCGCAGCCTGGATTTTGATGTTGCTCCGATGTCCTGTTTGGGTTTGGATGAGCATAGATGGCACTGCTTACAATGTGTTTCCAGTCATGTACCAGGTGCCATGTCAGCAGCGCCCAAAATCTCCATCGCCCATTTCAGTGGGTGGATCTACTTCCTGGTTTGATTGGGGTGGTAGTGAAGCCTATGAACCACGAATAGCCATGTCAGTAGATCCAGATGTCAATGGCTGTTGGGCTCGGCTCATCCATTTGTTTGAACAGGGTGCTCAACCCACCTCTAAATCCATCCCGAAGTGGCACACCTCGCACTGAAAGAGAGCATCCTTTGCCTAAACGTGGGCATTCCCCCAATGCTCCCGCAACGCCACGGGAAAGTCCACAGCAAGGCATGGGAAGGTCTTGGCAATCCTCGCACCCCAGAAAATGGTGGGTGTCGTTTTTGCTTCCCTCCGAAAAGGCATCCAACCTAAAGTCCGAAGTCTAGGACCCCCCCCCCCCCCCCGCGCATCTTGAGCGTCCCGAATGGCTCGAGCGGCTCAGGTTACAACAGGCAGATTGTTTCCAAAACCAAGCGCTGTCGGTTTAAGGACGACCCGTGAGCCATCAGCCATGCTCTTTCAAAGGCGGCCACGACAGATGCATGCATATATATACTTATTATGTGCTTGTTCATTTGTTCATGTATGTAAATATTTATTTATTTGATTAATGTATTTAGTGACTTATTGTTTTTCTTTTTATACACCCAGCTGGCCACACTGACGTTGAACAGCTGAAATCAGGTTTCTTTGGAAAGCCTTTTCGTTTCGGTTGGCTCTGTGTGTAAACGGCCACGGCAACTCTCGTCGGCCTCCTTTTTCACTGAGGCACACAGGGCTTCAACTGAAGGGATTTCTTGATCCCAACTTTAAGCTTGATTCCTGCTGGCTGAAGACGCGCATCCCCCCATGTTGTTGCTGAAGGGTATTTTACAGTGAATCGAAAGGGAACCTTTAGGTTTGCCGACCTCGGGGTTCTTGTCACCCTACACGCCACCCGCTGGACAGATGTTGTGGCCGAGGCCCTTTCCCCGTGGCGCTGGTTGCTGCTGCCACTGCTGTGCGAAAGGCAGGCAAAGCGCGTCGTTTTTAGCAGCCGTCAGTGTAAAACATAGGCCCAGTTTGTCCCCAACCTCAGTTGTTCAGCGGCCCTTTTTCCATTTTTTTTGGGTGGCTGCCCCGCTGAAAGTGGTCCTCCCCAAAAAGAGTTCCCTTTTTTTCCAGGGTCACTGAACAACTGAGAAACAGTGTCCCTGGGAGGAGCCAAGCTTTGCAATTCTGAGACTCGCCTCCAAGGCGGTTGCTGTTTTTTGCTTGCTCAAAAAGAGCGCGAGGGCCAAAAAATGGTAATGCATATAAAGCTGGTCCCACAATTGCAATTTCGCTCAAAACCAGGATCCCCCGGTTTGTTGAGTGACCTACGGTAGGGGCTATTTCGCTCTCCAGTTGATAGAAAAAGCAATGGGCTTGGATAGTGGTTGGTGATTTGGACATCTAGGTCTTTCTCACAACAGGCCTCCCCTTGTTGGATGGTTTTAAGGGGAAGCCAAAAAGGAAATCTACAGGGCGGGGGGGGGGGGGGCTGCTATTTTGAGACGCACCCATGTCCTGCAAACCCGGATGCCCAGATCCTGTGGAAGCGACTTGGCTGGGAGTCGCATGTCCTACCACTTTGGTTAGATGGTTCAATGGGGAAGGTGGTCGTTTTTGAACGCGTGTTTTGGCTCGTTTTTGAACGCGTGTGTTGGCTCGTTTTTGAACGCGGTTTTGCTCAAGTGTATGTGATTTACAGCAGCACGGCCATTTTCCAAGTGTCCATGCACACCACGATGAGGCGCACGAACACGCACCACGATGCACGTGTAGCACATGGATGGCGCCGTGCTTTTGGGAGACAATCGTCAACTATAGATCCAGGAACACAAAGCACAAGGAACGCAAAGCGACATCATCATCATCATCATCATCATCATCATCATCATCGTCATCGTCGTCGTCGTCGTCGTCGTCAACATCATCATCACCATCATCATCATCATCATCATCACCATCATCATTACCATCATCATCAACATCGCCATCATCAGTACCAACAACATCACCATCATCAACATCAACACCAACATCATCATCACCATCATCAACATCACCACCAACATCTATATCATCATCATCAACAACACCGTCAACATCACCATCATCACCATCATCATCATCATCATCATCATCATCACCATTATCATCATCATCATCATCAACATCACCATCGTCAAAATTATCATCAACATCGTCAACATGAACATCATCACCATCATCATCATCATTAACAACATCATCACCATTATCAACATCAACGTCGACATCACCATCATCATCGACATCATCAAAGTCATCGCCATCGACATCCTCATCGGCAACATCAATATCATCATCATTAACTTCATCACCATCATCATCAACATCATCACCGTCATCATCATCATCATCAACATCATCATCATCATCATCAACATGGTCAACATAATCATCATCATCATCATCATCATCATCATGACCATCATCATCAACATCGTCATCATCGCTACCAACAACACCGCCATCACCACCAGCGCGCAGTCGCACGGTCACGCAGTAAGAGGCGAACGTAACTGCCCCACCCCATCCCCCCCCCCCCCTCAGGACGCAGTCGCACGGTCACGCAGCAAGAAGCGAACGTAACTGCCCCACCCCACCCCCCCCCCCCAGCCCCAATACGCAGTTGCGCCGCCACGCAGTAAGCGGCGATCGCAATTCCAGGAGGCTCCGATTCGCAAGTTACTTAGGCCGTATGAGCTAAGGAGGTTTTTTGTGTCGCGAGGACAAGATAACTCAGAGCTTGAAATTTCACGAGTTTTCACGGCTTTTTCACGGAGTAGTAGCGGCCTTTCAGTTTCCCGCGCGAGTTATTACGGCCGTTAGACCGAGCTTTCACCGCTTTACGGGGGCCAACGAGCGCAAGTCGCCGAGGACATCTTAGCTCAAAAAGTCGGAGCCTCCTGGTTGCCCCCTTCCCCCAGCCCCAGGGCGCAGTTGCACGGGCACGCAGTAAGAGGCGAACGCAACTGCCCCACCCCACCCCCCCCACCACCCCACGGGTGCCGCAGGATAGCCCCCCCATGTGTTCGAAAATGACCCACTCTGTGTTCGAAAATGATCCAGGACATCGGTGTTCAAAAATGATCCAATATCGGTGTTCGAAAATGATCCCCCTCCCGTTCAATGGAAGGTGACCCGAAACTTGCCAGGGGTTGCCGGATTTTTTAGGCTCATTTTTGTTCATTTGGTGGTTGTCTTTGTAGACTGCAAGCTGCAAGTCACAGAGCGGACACGAGCTCTCGGAGGCTTTCAGCCTCCCTGTTGACTTGCCGATAGTGTTGGTTTTTTTCACGTGCCAAAACAGCCTCCTTTCAAATGGTTGGTGTCACTTTGCACTTGGGTGTCCTTCAAAGGGTCCAACTCGAGTTGCCAGGTTCGAGGCCCAGGAAGCATGTTATCACTTTCCAGCAGCCCCTGAGGGTCCACCTGAGGCCTCTGGTTGCAGGTTCTCAAGCCTAGGCATGTGGCCCCTAGAAATCCTCAAGTGGGTCACTTTGTTTCTCAACATATTTTAACCTTCTCTTTTTTTTTCGAGAAAAGAAGCCACCCACCGCAAATACCCCTGGTATTCAGGTCAACCTGGCCATCCGTGCGCGCGTGTCTCTTTTTTTTAAGGGTACCTTTTTGGGGATGGTGCAGAGGGAAACCAAATGGACGCCAGCCATTTTTAGGGTCCCCTCATTTTGAGACACGCCCATGTCACTTCAACAATAAGTATTCTGTGGTACTTCTCATGCTTCGCATCGAATTTGACATTCGGAGGTGTGATTTCCCATCCGAATCTTATGTACATGGCATCCCCGGGCAAAATTGGCAAGGGGACATATTGCTGGAGCTTGGCTATATGGCCTAGAATCTAAGCATGACACTTGCTCACTTGGGGGCAACATGTCAGGTAGAGATGGGTTGGAACCTGTGTCTTGTCAACCTGAAGGGTCCCAGAAATGGTATCTCAAGCCGGCATGGCACCAGGGTCCCTTAGGGACATGTTCTTGACAAGCTCCAGCGACGTTTGTCCAGGTAAATCACGGCTTCTTTCTAGGGGTTGATTCCAATTCCATTCTTTTCAACCATCTTTCTTTCCAAAAACCGGATCCGTTTTTTTGGGTTCCTGGAGGTTTTCTGGAAAGAAGGATCCCTGGAAAGAATGGGAAGTACAAGTACCCCCAGATTCTTCAGCCCCTTGCCCAAATTGCGGACCCTGGTTGTTGTCATTGCAACTCGGCTCGGCGCCCGCAGGACCCTGGCCGCCATGCCCAAAACCGGCACCCCAGCGGCCGGAGCACACACCGGCCCAGGCGGAGGGCTGGCTCTGGGGGGTTGAAAGGGAAAACATAAAAGCAACTCTCTCTTTTTTTGGGGGGAGTCTTGGAGACACTCCCGTCTTTTCAAAAATGGGTCCATCTAGAGTGTGTCGCTGTTTCCAGGGACCTCTCCAAGTGATTGGTGGCTAAGCGTAGAAGGGGGTCGGTCTTGGAGTCACTCTTCTGTGTTCCTCTGGTACTCAAAGGGAAACCAACATAAACGAACTATAGAATAGACCTTTGATAGTTTGGCCTACTCTAATCATGATATGTCCTAAAAGGGAGTCGTTCGTGCTTCTTCTGGCGGGGTATGGAACAGGGTCGGAACAGGGTCGAGTTTGAACCCAGAACGTAGGCCCGTAAAAGGGAGGGGGCCTCCTGAATGGCGTCTCTCCGGGTCAGCGTTTGGCAAGATCTGGCATTTTCTGCCTTTGGCTAAAAACGACGCATGCGCAAACTATAATGCGAGCTGTTCAGCGTTGAGGGTTGACCAAGCTTCAGGGAGATCGAACAAGCGAAGATTGGAGAGAAAATGGTTGACACATTTGACCGTGGCTCAAAAAAGTGGTACCAAAATGGCACCTTGGTAAATGGAACCAGAGACTAAAACCCGCGTAACCCCAGCTCTTTAATTTTGAGCCATACCCATTTGGCCTTCGTGGTGAACATCAAGAGGATTTTTCGGTCGGATACGGGTCAGACACCCGTACTCTAAGAACAGGTACGCCGGGCTTCAGGGGCCATGCCATAGATTTCTTGGCTCAAATCGGGTCTGTAAAGAAGGCGGCGTGATTGTGTGTTTGTTGACAACACCAGTTTGATGAAAACTGCTGGCATTGGTTTCAGCTTGGTTTTCATGATGTATTTGCTGCAAAAAGGACACCCAAGTTTGTTGGGTTTCATGATTCATGATTGTCAAATACCTGAACTGAGGTTTGATATCTTGAAGCATGGGAATTTATGCCCACCAGACAGGTTGCAAGGAGGGCTGGGGCAGCAGAAGCCAAAGCTCCGCGTGGTACCCCAGTAAAGAGTGCGCGAGCAGGGCGATCTGGGAGTGGGCTGGTCCAGATTGGACAGACAGGGTGAAGACTGTGCAGCACAAAGCACTACCCACACAGCAGGTCGCACCAAAAGCAGAGCACATCAACACCTCGGCACCCCTCACCGCAGCAGAGGAGCAACTGGTTGCCACAGTTGGTTTTTAACGAAAGAAGACAAAGAAGAAGGAGGAGTGGTGGACGTTCACGTACAAGGCGCCTTGGGGCCCGGCCCACAACAAGATGCGAAGGCCCAGCTGGTACCCCAGCAAGGCGGCTGCGGCCAGAGCCATTTATGAATGGGCCGGCGCCGACTGGCCTCAGCCGCTTACAGGCGCAGTCTTAGCTGCAGCAAATGAACAGGTGCAAGTCAAGGAGGAGCACAGGATCTCTATGCAAATCCGGCAACTGAGGCAGGAGTACGTGCGATGGCTTACCCAGGAGTTGAAGGGTAAGGACCTTGTGAACACAGCGGCCATCGTTGAAGACGACTCCCTTTGTTCCCTTCTCTTAGCCTGCTTTGAGCACGGCGAAGGCCAAGAGGATGCGCTCCAACAAGCCTTGAAGGGCTTGAGGGGAGTGATGACAGGCCGAGGAGTGTTCTTTGAAACGCACAGGCTTGAAGAGCTGGAGGAGGCAACAATTACATGTTTCTTGGTGAACCACAACAAGCATTGGGTGCCTTTTTGGCGCAAAACCTTTGTAGGCCCTGGATCACGTCCGACTCAACCAAGGGGTTTGAAGCCCCATTCTCAGCCTTGGCAGCCCAGCAGGGCAGGCTGGCACTTTACCAGCAAACAAGGCGTCTGCGACAGGCTGGTTCCCATTCAATTTCATAGATCCGCCGCAAACCGACATGCCACACGGGCAAATGAGCAGGCTTCCAAGCACAGACAAGAGTTTGGGCCTGACCATGCGACGATGGTTGCAACCAAAAGGGTCCTGGTTTTGAGTTTGCCAAAATTTTCGACAAGCCCATTCTCATGTTCATATGGGTGTGTCTTTGTTGGCGGGTGCCCCTTTTGTGTGGTTCCAAAGGGAAACCAAGAGGAAAACAACTATTTTCTTAAGGGCGTCCCCCCAAAAGAAAGACAAGCTGTGAACATTATAGTTTTAGACAAAACCAAGAAAACTCGATGAAAGCCAAAAAACGAAAACAAACAAAACTTGAGACAACAAAAAATCAAAAAGCTAAAATTCAGAGGAGGATCTTGGGCCTCCCATTTTTGCTTTTTTTGTTTTCTCGAGTTATTTTTTCCTCGAGTTTTTTTGATTTTTATACCAAAACTAAAAAACCCAAGGCTTGGTTGGTTTTCCAAGCGGGTGGGCCAAAAAAAGGAAAAACAAAGAGAGACTTTTTTGGTTTTGGCCCTAAAAGCTAAACAAACTCGAGGACCCCCCCCAAAAAAATAAATATATCTAGAAAACAAAAAACACACACACAAATTCTGAGGATAATCTTAGGTTTGCCTCGATTGATTGTGTGTTTTCTCGAGGTTGTTTTCCTCGAGTTTTTTGTTTTTTAAAAACAACACCACAAAATCCCAAGGCTTTTTTGGATTTCTGGGTTGGAAAACCAAACAAGTTTTGTTTTTGTTGGTTTTTTGATAAAACACCAAAACAGTTTGAGCCAAACCCAAGATTCTCCTCATAGTATGGACATCATACTTAACATCTAAAACAACATAGACATTCAAGTTTCATTATGTCCTTCTTCAGTTCTATCAGACTTCTAACTGTATATTTATTCAAATCTCATTAAACGTGAGTCACATTTGATTTGTAAGTAACATAGTACATCATATTTGAATTATTCCCTTGCTAAGCCCTTTTCATGGAAAGGATGCCTTTTTAGATTCTACTTGAAAATCGAAAGTACAATGGAACTCTTTCGAACTCTATGTCTATTCTACTAGTTAATATTCATGAAATGTCGAAAGGAATTTCCCTTTACATGATCTTAAAAAAATGAAACATGTAATTGAATTGTTTTCTGTTTACAATCAACTAGAATTATAATTAAACTTCAATCATAATCCAATTTGGCACAAACATCCTTATAAAAACCCTTGAAAAAGCTTATAAGGAGCTTTACCAGGAACTGTCTAAGGAGCCTTATAAGCAGCTTGTCAAGGAGTATAAGGAGCTTTACAAGGAGCCTTATAAGGATCCTTATAAACAGCTGTTGAAGGAGCCTTATAAGGAGCTTTACAAGCATCTTTACAAGGAATTGCAAGCCTTAGCTAAAGCTTCATAAGGAGTCGCGTAAGGAGCTTTATCGGGAGCTTTGTATAAGGAGTACAAAGCGCTTTGTTAGGAGCTTTAAAAGGAGCCTTACAAGGATCTTTATAAGCTTTTCAAGGAGCCTTCTAAGGAGCTTTGCAAGCATCTTTACAAGGAGTGGCACAAGGGGCCTTATAAGGAGCCTTAAAAAAAGCTTCATAAGGAGCCGTGTAAGGAGCCGTATAGGGAGCAGGAGCTCTATAAGAAGTCTTGTTAGCAGCTTAACAGGTGAGCTTTAAAATGCTTAGAGACGGGGTATAAGGCCAAGCCCTGCACCACCTCCTTGACCTCACTTAAAACAACTTCGCCAGACACGAGAGCTGCCATGATGATTGGAAATCAAAAAGGGGCAGTTTAATCTCGAGTCACTCTGATGGCTGCGGGCTACTCCAACATTCACGCACAGCCTGTATGTATCCAAATGGAGTGAATCCTTGCCCTTCAGATAAGCAGAATGGTTGCCCTTCAGATAAGTAGAATTATTGACCTTGAGACATTGCCCTTCAGATAAATATAATTGTTGACCTTGAGACATTGCACCAGCACCCGAAAGATAGTTCATGGGGGGGGCCTGAGCATACATATATATATAAATAAACATATATATATATATGTATAAATACATGTGCATATACATGTTCCAATTTCCATTCCTATGCCTTCATTTCTCGGGTCGATGCAACACGCGGGGCTTTCGTAGGCGCCTTTAGCCCGCCGGACCTGGCGGAGCCTGCGGAGGCGACGAAATTGCGCCGCGTCGCCGCGTCGCCAGCTGCTTCGACTTCCGACTGAACTTCGGGGCAGCCCAAAAATGGACTCCGAACATTGCCAGGTTTGTTGGCTGCCATTCCGCCTGAGGTTTTTTTTTTTTCTTCGTTTTGCCCCTTCTTTTTTTCCCCTGCCATTGCCTCATGCTCAGTGATAGTTCTACAGGTTGGGGATGGAGCCAGGGGGTCGTTTGCCACCGTTCGTGGGAAAATGATCGACCGCCTTGTAGTGAAGCATTCCTTGTTGAGGGGATTGCCAATTTTCTCACAAACAGTGGCAAAAGGAGCCCCCCGATGCCATCAATGTTCCTAAGTTCCCGGGGAAATGGCCGATTGGGCAATCTGGGGCTGAGAAAAATCGCTGGGGCATTGGGTTGAAGTACATCTGGGGCTGAAATCCCAATCTGCCATTCGCTGAAATAAATCTTGATTGTTTATTTCCTGAGTTCTATCACTACTGGAGATATGTTTATTCTTTCTGGGGACTTAAGCACATGAGCTGAACTTGGAGAATTGAAAGCCCATATGTGGCGCTTTGAGGTTTTGGCGTGCGGACGTATTTGACCCCGGAAAATGGAATTAAACCCAATAAGGGTAGCACACCATTCTGCTTGCGTTTCTTCTTGACTCTTTTCTGTTTGTGGTTGGTCGCTTGCTCCTTTTGAGTTGTTGTTTTGTTTTGGGGGGGGTGATGCGCAAAACACATTGAACCAACACACAACGGTAAACCTTATGGGCCCAACTGCCCAACTCATCTTAACAGTGGATTTGACCTGCCTCCAAGTTGCTTCTGTTTGGTCCACGATGAAATGGCCAACCCCAAAACGTGCTTCCTTTCTTGGTGGCTCCCAGCCATCCCCTTAGCCTTTGAGCTTTTTAGTGTTTAGTGGTGGTTTCCATTTAGCCCACTAAAAGTTAAACTGATCGCAGGGGATCTGAGGGAGAGGGCAGCCCAGCTGTTACTACCCTTCCCACCTTACCCGGCCGGGCCAGCGCAAAAAAAGAAGAAGCGCTCGTTGCCAGCTGGACCTGCTGGACGACTCCGAAAGCAAAGACATGCCCTGGCCACAAGAGCAGGACATTTGGGCGCGGGAATCTCCGGGGCGGCGAGCGGTTCACTGGCGCCCAAACTGCTATTTGGCGGACTTGGGTTATAGCAAGGCCCATAGAAATGTTTAGAACCATGTTAGCAGAACCAGAAGTTTTTAGGTGTTTCATGGCTAAATTGGGTCTTGATGTCTCCCACAACCCAAGTCTAACTATGTTGCCCCTTAGTTCACGCGAGGCTTGATGCCCTATTGTACCGCACCTCATTTTCCGGGTTTCCAGTTGTTCAGTTGTACCCAATCTCCCTCCAAACAAAAAGTTTGGCTTCCGGTTTTCTGCCAGGCCTTCTAGGTTTGGAGTATGGTTCTCTGAACGGCGCCTATGTTCAGGAGTGTTGGGCAAGTGACCAGCCCATGCTTATGTTCAGCTTTAGGCAGCTGCAAAACGGAGCAGATCAAAGCTATGGGCGCCCCTGGCCTTGGTTCAAGGAAAGAGTGGTCCCCTAAAATGGTTGGTTTCCTGATTTCCTGTTGGTTTCCCTTCAAAGACCAATTAAAAGGGCTATGAACTTCAACGGGAAAACCGGTGCCACATATCAGTGATGCCTACCGAAGTGGCTTACATGGCAAACTGGCGAACACTTGCAATATTGCAATCATCCGGAAAGTCGATCTGGTTCGTTTACTATAAGTTTGGGGGACTGACTGTCTTTCATGTGTTGACCATTTGCAATATTGTTTGATGATACACTGGATTGTGGGAAAAAAGGTGCGGTTTCCACTTCTGTGACAAGTTAATATTTTGTTAGTGGACAGACTTTTGATTGGTATACAGAACTGTGGGCAATCCTAACAACCTTCTTGCCATCTGCTTTGCTAAGTGGTTTGCCTTGTGGTGTGCCGTGGTAAAGGCCAAATCTTTGACTTCGTTGGGATGCGCTTTTGTTCGCTGCGACGCGCGGCGCCGCGCGGCGCCGCGCGGGTCGCGTTGCCAGAGGAGCATTCCGAATCCAAGCCGGACAGACAGGCCCGGCGGGGCATGTGGCCGGGGTGGCATTTTCCCAGTCCGGAGCAAGGTCCTTTAAAGACTGTGTCAGTGGGAGTCGGGATCCGCATCAATCCAGGTCCGGAGGGCAGTTTTTTGGATCCGTTCAACCAATAAGGCCCGCGTTTCCAAGGCCGGCGGGTCCTTGGGAGCCACAATGCATTTTGGCTTGTCAAAAAGACGTATATTCACTTTGTGCGTTGTCTCAACATTCGGGAACCCGCAAACTGGCTGCTTTGTTGTCCACCCTTCTAAACCAACCCAACAAGGCTGCCCTTGAAGAAAAGGACCTGTTGCTCCTTTGAAGGATGGCCAAAGAACAGGGTCCTTTGAGATTTTGTTTGGTTCCTTTCGGTTTCCTTTCGACAAAGCCTGCTGGGTTTTTGGAGCAACCCTGAGACCTTGGCCCGTGGGTTTGATTGGTTGTGGGTTGCAAAGGACATACTCAGTTGTTCAGTGGCACCCTTCTGCCCTTTTTTTGATGGCTGCCCCACTAAAAGTGGTCCTCCCCAAAAAGGGTTCCCTTTTTTTCCAGGATCACTGAACAACTGAGCATAGCATCAAAGTCCCCTTTAATCCACTACTTAAAATGGTCTTGATCATTCTTTAAGACATGGAGCCAGAGATGCAGCCAAAGATGCCGAATTTTGGCACGCAGCTTGGACCATGCTTGTTCTCCCACTCTGCATCCTCAAGCATGGCAGCAGCCCTGCTTTCGTGCGTGACATAAGCGGTACGTATTTGGTTGCTGTTTGGTTCGACCTACCTGTTCACCTTCCGCAAAATGGCAAAGTTTCCGCAGTTGCCCACACGCTTGTCACTTTTTGCACGGGGTCAAAGACCGACCCGGCTCTCACACAGTTTTGCAGGGATCCCCCGCAAAGGCGGTTGCTTTTGATTAACGCTGAAAGGGGCCCACCTTCCAGACTCGTCTGCTGAGTCCCTCCTGTCCATTGCTGGGGAGCACGCTTGGACCATTGTCTCCTTCATGGTCGGCTATGCCATCGTCCAGTGCCCCTGGACATCTGACTCGTCCAGTGCATGCCAGGCGCGTTGTTTATTCCTTAGGTTTTTGCCTGAAGGAAATTGGTCCGCAGGTTTGGTGGAACAACCTCTTAAATTTAATCAAGAGCCCGCTCAAGTGTGTCCTGCAAGTGCTCTTCATATTAGGTGTCGTTTGTTTGCTTGTTTACTTGTGTGCTGGCTTGATTGCTTGCTTGCTTGCTGGCTGCCTGGCTGCCTGGCTGGCTGACCTGTTTGAGCGGGCTTGCATTAAGCACTTCCAGGGAGTCCCTTTTTGCTCCCCGTTGGAGTGTCAAAAGGCAACCCGTTAAAGAAGCCGCAGGCTTGAACCAACTCCGTGAATTCTGATCCCCCGAGTCAGTTTTGATAAACTGAGCCGAGCCACAACAAAAAGAACCTGTGCAATTGGAAGGTTGAAATTCCAACCACAAACAGTCTTTCCGCGCTTTTTAACTTGCGTGTCCGTGTCTTTGTTAGGATATTTTTGAGGTCCCCCCCCCATTTCGAAAAGATGGTTTGTGGTCGACACCTTGTTGTTGTTGTTTTTTTGCATCGCAGGTACATGCTGGGAAGCGGCAGGGATCCCGACACCAAAGAGGAGTGAGATGCAACTGCCACTCCGCGTTGGCTTCGTGTATCCCTATATACCCCTGGCTTGGATCACCCGTTTGCCATAGGCTGAGTTTTCTATAAAATCTTTGAAGGGGACATATAGGGAACCCGGTTTGTGGCGTGGCCTGATTTTCCGCTCGGTTGGGCGATCGCGGTTCGCAGCCGGGCCGAAGAGCCCTTATGGGTGTGGCGTTTGGGGATTTCCTTTTGGTTGGTTCTAAAGGGAGGACAAGCAACCAACCATGGGGCGTCCTCATTTTGAGACAACCCTTGCCTTGGTCTTACCAACCCTGCATGAGCAGGGTTGTCAGAATGAAGGGGTTGTGAAACCCCTTGTCTAAGAGAAGATTCCGTCATGAAGGCCGTCCCAACTTGCATCACAGCCGGTTACATTCGCACAACCCTGTGCTATTTGAGCCCTTCGGGAATTCGCTTGGCACCTTCCCGCACGAGATGGGAGTTTGGCTAGACGTACCTGGTGCGTTGCACAAAGCTTGAGCTAGCTTCAGAGAAGCGAAAGCTGCGGCGCCGGGCAGTACAAAGCGTGTGGCACATGAATCACCAGACGTTTGTCCGGTTGAGCACAAGCTGAAGTTTGGTAGCGGCGGGCCAACCAGTAGTTAAACTCTGCAGAACTCACTTTCCGAGTTCCTGGACTTGGGAAGGCCATTAAGTAAAAAGTTCAGACGTTTTTGGGGCCATCCACTCGGGAAGTGAGTTAACATGGAGCCCAAACGGGGGTTCGCCGAAAATGTAAGACGATTCCTTGCAGGATCTGTGTAGTCTCCTAGCCTTTGGAGCCTGCCAACAGGCCAAGAATCAGGTGTTGCCTGACTGCCTGGAGCCGTTGAGTTGCTTAAAGGCATAGTCAAGCACGAGTCACCAGGAGTTGGACAGCAGGAATTGTTTAGTCCTTGGTTCGATTTATCATGGCAACCCCTTTTTTGGACCCGATTTTTGACCTACACCCAAATGGCTTGCCGCAGCATTTAGCGGATCGCTGTCATTTTTTTTGCTGTTTGTGGTTTGGCCTACCAGTCTCCGGCAAACAGAATCTTAACCAGTGGGGCTTTCAAAGGCTAGACTTTTCTGGGCCACTTCTTGCCATGGCGATCGAAAGCAAGGCCCGCAGCACCCGTCGGCTATGCGTCGACAAAACCAGGGGGAGCAGGGCGAGTGTCCCACACCTGTGACATCAGCGAACCAGTACTGTACCTCCTTGCAAGCAGTTCGTGATTGAAAAGGACGCTTCAACTAGTATGACAGAGTGTAGCAAGTCTCTGCAGTTTAGCCTAAGCCCAATGCTGTACTGCGTAAAATCTATCTGGGGAAGGTGAGCGTGGAATGTTTTGATCATGGAACTCTTTCTTGGGGACTCAGGCTTACTCGCCTGATCGAGTTTTTAACCTTAGGTTGTTCCAATTCGGTCTTGCTGCACATCATTGAACCATTGTCGACATGTGTTGGTGTTTGGTTGGCCACAAACACATGTTCTCTTCCGTTTGTCAGTTTCTGGCCATTGCTCCGTCAGGGGCAATCATCTGCCAAACTACCACGGAACCTGGAGCTTTCTGGTTTTCGCTACCGGATGAGCTCTCACTCCAGGATGAATAACCAGCTGGTTGAGACTAATGCGGAGGTAGCATGATTGCTGGCCCTTATGGGTGTCTTGAGAGATGTCTGGTGTTTGTTTTCACCCCGCTCGGTAGAGTTGACTGTCAGAAAAATGGGTGGACGCTTTCTGACCAAAGCACTCAGGAGACTACAACGGTCCAGATTCTAGATAGTCACGGGCGCAGGAGCAAATCGTGAGTTTGACGACGTCATGGCGCCTCCCGGCTGGGATCGGAGCTTCGATTCGATCGAGAGGCTGCAGTTGCAGTGGACAACTTGTCGCCCGAAGAGGCGCATTGGGATGTTTCATGCGATCCAGATGTGAAAACTCGAGGGGCGCTTTCCACAGGGAGTGTACCCTCGAAGGGTTTCTGAGGGTCCACGTGAAACTGCATGGGACAACTGTTTGCCACATTGTGAGCTCATGCTAGGTCCAAGTACTTAGAGCACTCGGCGGTTGAAATGCTGGGATCTTTTTGGGGGTTGCACACTCCTGACCCTTGACTTTGTAGGGCAAGGGAAGGAACTGGGCTAGCATACAGGAGAAAATCCCGGTTATATAACAAGGAAACCCCATTGTCCCACGACCTTTTGGGGAAACACGTCATTGTTGTCCTTCCTTTTTGGTGAAACCTGTTGGGGAAACACGACCTTTTGGGGAAACCTTTTGGGGAAAAACGGGAAGGGTGTTCGGCAAAAAAACATCATTGGTGACTGTTTGTGTGTTTCTTTGAGAACTATGAGCCACAACTCTGCTTGTTTCGGTTCTGGTGTCCTGGATTTGCTATTTTGTCGGGTCTCCTCGGTGTTTGGGTGTTTCTAGTTTTCGAGGTTTTTCTGGCTTTTTATCACACAACCAGGAGCCGCCACAATTCTGTGATACTTCTATTGCTCTCTGGTTTTCCCGGTTTGCTCCAGCTTGTTTCCGATTTATTTATTTTTGCGGTTTTTGTCTAGGTTTGGCAACCCCTTTCTTCTGGCTTGGCAGTGACGGAAATTAAAGCAAGTAGATGGTTGAGGGGGTCGCATAAATTTGATCGCCCGTCGTCCCAATGCCAAGCCCCCCCCCTCAATAGTGTGGTGCCATCCAGGCTCCGGGTGGGGTGGGGGGAACCATGGAGCCCCCCAACCCATCCCACAAAAGGGGGCGGGGGGGCTTGCACTGTCGCACTGTGCGACCTTCTAGACTGAGCATGACATTCGGGGGGTTGTGGGGGTGGGGGGGGCCCAAGGAAGACTGGAACATAACATATATATACATACATATGCAATATGGTTCCCCGCCCCAAGATGCGCGCCTGAGTCTTGCCAGTACTTCGTGCCAATCAGATAGTGATGCGACATGGCAAAGGGTAGTACTGCAAGTACCAGTGTTTTGTAGGTGTCATTGGGATCTCAAGGCCCCTTGGTGGGTTTGAATTTCCGCATGACAGACTACTTCTGAGACGGATTCTGTTTTTGGAAATTTGCTTTATTGTTACACGATAGTTGATGCTACATCTTAGACAGACTTGCTGTCTTTGGAATCACTCATTGAGTATTGGCTTTGGAACGTAGCAGATGGGTTCAGCAGATGTTGGCTCAGGAAACCAGACAACAGGGACAGTTCCACACTTTTAAAGACCGGGAAGCAACATGTCGACGTCCCTATTTGTTTGGCTCTTTCATGCAAAATGTGCTGCATTGTCCCTAAACGCAACAACACCATAACAATTATGTTGAGTCTTCAAGCTCTTACATCTGCCAGACTCTGAAATACTTGCTTTTTTGGGACAGTACCACTTCTTGCATGCAAGAGCCCAAGACATAGGGACAGTACATCGCTTTTGGCTTCCTGGCCTTTAAAAGTGTGGAACCGTCCCTATGTTTTTTGGTTCAGAAAGCAAGAAGATAGGGACAGTCCCACACGTTTGAGGTCCAGGGGCGCAGAAATTGATGTACTGTCCCTATCTTTGGGGTTTTGCGGGCAAGAATCGCTGTATCTCTCGTCCCATTGCTTGGGTATGGGAAGCCATCCACGGGGCGCCGTGAGGCCACGGAGATCTTGGATTTTTTTGGTTTTAAGGCGGAGGAGCTGCCCGGAGGCCATGAGAAACGGGAAATGCGGGAATTTTCGAACGGCGGGCCTCAGCTTTTTTTTGGTTTCGCGGGATGTGTTCTTTTCGTTTTGTGGGGTGGGGGGGGGGGGAGGTGAGTGTTTTATGTTCTCTGAAGGCTGGCTTGTGGGCTTTTTTTTCCTCTGTTTTTTTTCTGCATTTATTGCATTGTTGGGTTGTTGAGTGGTCCAATTACTTGGAGCCCAGGTACTGTCTTTTGCAGACTTTCAAAATAAGCGACACCTTCCCGTGTCCAAGCCCGCCCGAGGCCGGTCCGTATCTATGGGGGCTATGCCTCTTCGAACTTCAAGGCGAGCGTCGAAGAAGCGGCACGGAAGCCACAACGGTGGGGCGTCCCTTTTGGGGGCAGCGGGCTGATACCCAAATGGGGGTTGATCAATATTCCGTTTGGGCCCCCCAATGATCCTGGGTAACTTTTTACATTCAGATTGTCACTGCCATATGTGCATCCCATATAAGGAGCGTTTCATCAACCCCCAAATGACGATGAAGCACCTCCAAAGTGGTTGATAGACATGAATCCCCACATATCCCCACCTAAATAGGGTCCCTTGCTGAAATTCCCCCCCCCCCCCCCCCGGCTAGACAAATGGTTTGCGTTCCATGATCAGCCAACTGTTTTTAGAGCAACCGGTGAGCCCTTTTGTTTGGGGCTTTCCATCAGACCTCAGGCAAACCAACCTATTTTGAGGGCTCCCGTTATTTTGAAACGATCCGTTGCGGTGCATGGCTTCCACCACCCAGACCATGAAATGGGAGACAAGGGACTTCCAGCATGCCGCAAAGCCCTACGATTCAATCCGTGTAGGGGTTGTAGTGGTTGTGATGCTTTTTACCCAGAGTATGGGGGGGGGGTCCTTAAATAGCAGCCCCCCTTTAAGGATGGTGTTAGAAGAGAGAGTTGTAAAGGAAACCAGTAATTAGAAAAGAAGCCAACCAAGTGTAGGGGGCGTATGTTTTTAGACATGCCCACATTGCAGATGCCAGGTGGTGGGCAAGTTTGACGGAGGCGCGAGTGTTGAGAGCGGATCAGGTCGCAAACTATGACGGCTCTGCCGGAAAAACAACTCACCCAGAAGGGGTCCTCGTACTTGGGATTCCTTACTTCCAGTTTGTTTGATTTTTTGTTTTGAGGAGATCTTGGGTTTCCCCGGCTCAAAGATGATCATGAATGGTAAACATTATTGGTGTTTCTCTGTATGGCGCCCGAAGCAAAAGAAAGGAGAATAGCAGGTTCTGTTTACCAGACGGCTACGAGCATGGACTTGAACGCAGATTCCTTCAGATTCCATGAAACAGGTGAGTGGAAGGGCAGCAAGTCAAAGGAAACCCACCAT